GATTCGATCGTCGTCGTCGTGCGAGTAGCTCGCAAAACGAATCGGGTCGTCCAAGCTAATGCCTCCGCACGCGACGCGCGTCTCTTGTGTTGGCCAAAACAGGACAAATACGGGTAGATTAGACGATTTGAAGCATAATTTTGCCCACGTGGTCGCTCGACTCCATGAGCTGGTGCGCCGCCGTGGCCTCCGACAGCGGAAACGTCTTGTAGATGATGGGTTTGATCTGGCGCGACTCGAGAAGCGGCCAGACCGTGGCAAGCAGCTCCTTGGCGATCTGCGCTTTGAACGCAACGTTCCGCGACCGGAGACCCGACCCCGTGACGGTGAGCCGACGGCGGAGGAACTGGGAGAGATCGATGGGCGCCGACGCACCCCGCTGCAGCGCGATGATGACGAGGCGCCCGTCGTCCGCGAGACAGCTCATCTCGCGCGGCACGTAGTCGCCAGCCACCATGTCGAGAATGACGTCGACGCCGCGCCCGCCGGAAATCTCCTGGACGACCGCGGCAAAGTCTTCGGTGCGGTAGTTGATTGCGCGGTCGGCGCCGAGGGCCTCGCAGGCGCGGCACTTGTCGTCGCTGCCGGCCGTGACCCACACCGTGTGTCCGAGCTGCTTGGCGACTTGAATCGCAGTGACACCGATACCAGAGCTGCCACCCTGCACGAGGAGCGTCTCGCCAGCACTCAATCGCCCGCGCTGAAACACGTTGCTCCAGACGGTGAAGAACGTCTCGGGCAGCGACGCGGCCTCGACCATCGAGAAGCCTTGGGGCACGGGCAGGAGCACGTCGACGGCGGCCGTTGCGTACTCGGCGTAGCCACCGCCCGACAAGAGCGCGCACACTTGGTCCCCAATCTGAAAGCCCTTGAGGTCCGTGGCGGGCCCAGCCGCGACGATTTCGCCAGCGATGTCGAGGCCAAGAATGTCGGACGCGCCCGGCGGCGGCGGGTACTTGCCCTGGCGCTGGAGGATGTCGAGGCGGTTGAGGCCGGCAGCGTGGACCTTGATGAGGACCTCGCCGGTCGCAGGCTTCGGCTTCGGGGTCGGTCCTACGTTGAGGACAGTCGCGTCGCCGGGCGCTGAGATAAGGACAGCTTGCATGGTTGTCATGATGGATCGACTCCAAGAATGCCAAGCGCAGCCAGCGCCCCGTCAAAGATTTGCTGATCACAGCCGATTTCGGTTGCCATAACCGGACAACAAGAGCGGACAGCATATCCGGACAATGGAGGACGAAGTCTTCGGTCAGGTTCATGACAACTCTGTGCAGACTCCATGACCAGCCGAATGCTACCGTCGCCCGAAAAGAACGCGATTCTAGACATGACATAATCACCACCGTCGGATAGTCTGCCAGCAGCACCGCAGCACAAGCTGGCGTTGATCTATCGCAATGGAGTGGATCCTGCTACATCATGTTTGAAGAGCTCCAAGCGCCAAGATCAGTACCGGTACAGTAGCATGTCCTCCGGTACATGACACTATCGTCCATGATAGGTCCACCTAGCGTGCCATCCCAAGCACTTAAGCAACGCTCTGAGAGACGTGAAAATAAGGTTTTTGTTCAAACTACACAGTCGTCTCAAAGGGACGAAATCAAGCCTGGAGCAGATATAAAGTAAAGACCAGCAGCGTCCAAAGCTTCTTGGTGATTTTTAGAATGGCTGGCGGTATCTTTAGGGAGGCGACTGCCAAGATCGGCCGGTGTACCGGCAGAGTGCCAACGCCAAGTGCTCGTAGCACGAGTGTCGAGAGGGCACCCGCAATCGGTTTAGGAAAGAGGTCGCCTTGGAGCAAGCCCCTGCAACCACTTGTGCCGAGCTCTCGTGCAGCAATAGCACGCGATAGAGGGCGAGGTCTTTCGAGCGCGATAATCCCAACGCCCGGGAGGATTGGTACACGGTACACGGTACATGTTCCCCAACCGGATCATCCGTATACGCTCCCATTAACCGGTTGGGTGCTCGCGTGTTTTTATTCTGTTCATCGCAAGTATGGCCGACGCCCCGACGCCAAAGCCGCGGATCCAGTGGGACGAGGAGACGATTGCGCTCCATGATCTGGACCGCGGGACGCGCATGAAGATCAACGAGCCCAACACACCTTACCACTACTATGAGGCCGAGGAAGACCACGGCAGCGCCATCCCCGCCGTCATGACCGACGTCACGCTGCAGCTGCACAATGCGGACCCCGTGCACGCAGGGCCATCCAAGCCGGCTTCATTGGCGCCCATCTCGCCTGCGCGCAGCGCCTCGAATGGCTCGGAGCTCAAGTGGGACGAACTCGAGACCAAGCTCAAGGTGCAGGAGAAGCGAAGCGAGTGGGACTCGGACTCGGACTCGGCGTCGCCCAAGAAGAAGGACTTCTCCAAGAAGCGCAAGCAGCATTACAACGAGTACGAGATGATGAAGCAGTGGCGCCAGCAGCACCAGGACGACGGGGATGACGACGAAGAGTAAGAAACAGCGGTAATCAACCATGCGAATACATGTTAAAAATGACTCCCAAACTTGGTCCGGCCCGACATGGTGCACTTGGGCGCGGTCTTAAAGTTGGAGAGAACTTGCGTGCCCACCGCGGCTTGCTGCTTGTACGCGTTGGGGGCTGGACTCATCTCGTGGCTGCTGCGAGCGCCGACAGGCGCTTTGGAGCGACCAACGATCGAAAACGAGTAGGCCGCTACACGAAACAATAGGTGAGCTGACCCACGGCTCACCGAACAAGCAAGCAAGCATCTACCCGAGTTGTTCACTGTCGACACCACTTGACGACCAACGGCGACGTTGCCCGTGTTGTACTGACCTAAATGAAAGCTTAGTTTTGGTGCGCTAGCAAACCAGATCGGACCAGGGCCCACGTCTGCAGTGGACGACTCCGTGAGTGGCTTTCGGTTGACCTTCGAGAAGGATGACGCTGGTGCCGACCGGTTCGTCGAGCGCACCTACACGCCAATTGACCCTTGGACGCACACCACGGGAGAATGGACGTACGGCTTTGGAGCTAATGCTCTCGGGTGTGTCGTATGCACCTGCACGCAGCCATGAAGCAACATCTTTCTCCGACTCCTTGTACCTGGGCCTGGAGACTTTTTGGTCGGCTCGGCTGGCGTCGTCCATTTTTTGCCCAGCGAATAGTGGGGTGCGTTGGCCTCCTTCAGATTGACCACTTGGCTCGAGTAGTCGCCTACGCAACATCACGTAGCACCAACGCTACATTGGCGTCACCAGCCTACCAGGGCCAGGGCAACTGGCCGCCGACTTGAGGTCGGAAACAGATCCAAACTTTTCCCGGCCCGCCACCGAGCATGCTGGCGCCGTGCGCATCGTCGATAGCACGGGCTTTCCGAGAGACGTTGGCACTTGGTACGCGCCAGGTCCCTACAAGCCACATGCGTGAGTCGAGATGGGCGAGCGGTGGCGACGGACAGGCGACTTGGAGCCGTCCGAGTGGCCTTGGGCGCGGCTGCTACTGCCAAAGCACGTGGTTGGCGCGGTCCGCTTGCGCGAGTCGACCTGGTCGCCGCAAGACGACTTGATGTCATCGTAGGCTGTATGCAGCGGCGCCGCGCCGGCGCCCTTGTTGGGCGACTTGTTGGGCGACCGCGGGCTCGTGGCGTCGGCCTTGGCTGGGCTGTTGGACATGCTAATCGCAAACTTGACCTTTTTCGCTTCGGCCAGGACGCCATCTAAAAATAGACTGCAACTGGGCAAACGACGCGGATTGGTGGAGATTTTAGAATCCGGATAAACGTATCCGAACAACGATCCACTTTCCAATTTGCGCGCGATGGCCGAGCTCGGGACGCTCCACAAGCAGCACGCGCGGGTTCGCGACATCGTCGGCGCCATGTACGAGCAGGATGAGGAAGACCATGAGACCTACGGAGCCGAGGTAGATGCGACCGCCTAGCAGCCAAGGAGACTGCGCTGGACGAAGCAGCCCGGGGCATTCAAGCGCTTCGCGACGAGATGACCCAGCGCAAGGAAGAGTGGGCTGTGGAGAAGAAGAACATGGCGCGCGCGCTGGAGGACATGCGAGAAGCGACGGAGGAGAAGGACCGGCGATACGCCGAGCTCCAGCGCGAATGGGTACGATCGACCTCGAGCGCAAGATGGTGGTGACCTGTACGTGAGCGCAGCATACGGCGAGCGACCAGGTCGAAGCGCTTCAGCAAACCCTGCAAGAACGAGAAGCATACGTTGCCAAGATCGTCGCAGAACGGGTGCCATGTCGTCTCTATGATCGGGGTACGATGCTATTGCCTTGCCTAGGAAGCGTTCACGGCCATGACAGAAGATACCGCGACGCAGCATGAGGCGGCCTTGCAACGCTTTCGTACCAAGAAACAACAGCCTTGGAGCAGCTTGTACCATGATACCTACTCGTCCTCTTCGTTGATGCGCTAATGATCTCTGCAGGAGCAAGTGCGTGTGACATCCAAGTACTTGGACACATACACATCGGATCTGGCGAAGGCCGTGAACCAACGTAATTTACCTCCGTGAAAGATCTTCGTATAGAAGTGATGTGTAGTGTCCAAGGAAGTCCGATCCCTGGAAGAGGTCACTCGACATCAAGAATTGCTGTTGACCTTGTGGACCATGCGCAGAGTCAAGGAACGTGCGAAGCCATGCTGCTCGCTCAGAAAAACAAGACTGTGACCGATGCGACACCGCCAGGCGGTCGCCAAGAGATGGTGGATGGTCTCTGCGACCAAGTCGGTCGGCTTCAAAGCCAGAATATCGAGTACGAGACCACAGTGAGCCGGCTGGAAGAAGCGCTTGCGAAGGCGACGGATGAGACCGCGACATTGCAGACACAGCTCCTCGAACTGGTAGCAACGGATCATCTATTTCGAGCAAAGGACCACGTTTTTTTCGTAGCGCACACAGCTTGGAGCGCAGGCACAACTCGTTGCCAAGTACGAGGCGTCAAGCTTGTGCGGCACCCAAGCCATGGACTCGCTCCAGAGCTCCATTGCGCTCATTTGCGCAGAATACGACACCGAGCGCGGAGCTCTTTTGAAGCAAGTCGAGGACCTCTCGATGGCGTCGATTACTGGCGAACACGAGAAGCTCATCGAAATCGAAGAGATGCAGGCCAAGATCATGGACGCGGAGAACGCGCTTCGCGAGAAGGTGAAACACGTGGCCGAGCTCGAGGCAGCGCTTCACGCCAAGGAAGAGATGGAAAAGCGCGTGACGCAGCAGCAGCAGCCTGCGGACGAAGCCACCCAGCGGACCCAAGCCCCATCAACCGTCACCCCATGTGTTTCAGCATCTCTTGCTTCCAGCGGGGCGCTGTCGCCAGCGTTGACTGCAACCAGCACCGTCGCAGAGTTTCCCGTCGCAACCCAAACCGCAGCAGCGCGCGTGCCGGACGAGTGCCCGACGTGCCACGATGAACCGTTTGGTTTTATGGTGCGCTGCCAGCAGTGCAAGCAGCAGTTCCACGCCGGGTGCGTTCGCTCCAAACGCCAAAAGACGTCGCGTGCCGGCGTCTACGTCTTTGTGTGCGACGCGTGCGCGCCAAGTGCGTCCGGACCGGCAACTACCACGTCAGCATAAAAGATCGTGCACGCCAGCCTTGCGCGAAAACTTTGGGCTTCTCATTGATCGTATGCGACTGCGGGCATCCATAACACAAGCCTAATACGCCGATTGCCAGTGCGCACACTGAAATGCTTGGAATATCAGCGGCGGCGCTACCGACGCCACCGCGACTTTACACTTGGAAGATATACGGCTCTTCTACTGACCACGCCTCGTGCGCCAGCCTTGCTGCTTCTCGGCACCTGCTCGATACTGCTACTACGGCAACGAACTCTGCTGGTTCTTCCATAGAAGCCGCGCAGTAGCCGCGGCGCCATGGTTGGTGGCGAAGCATGCCTTCGGGTGCATCTTGGTACAGCGCCGCTGCGTTCATTGTCACGGTCTTCTTACGACTTGGCAAGAAATTCGCATTCACCAGCGTCTCCCGTAATGTATGACTCACGCCTCAACACCCCATTACACGTGCGGTCACAAACAGGCTTCGATCCGGATTCAGTCCGGATAACAAAGGGCAACCTGAACCGCGGCGTGTGATTGGGCCTTGCGTGTCATTGATTCAAGAAAACAAGACATTACTTGCATACGGGCCAATCACAGCGCAGAGGCCGGGCTTTTGGGCCAATGAAACGCCGAGAAAGGGCGCTTGCTGTAACACAGCCCGCAAAAAAATGAGCGCCGAGCAACATTGTCACTCTTGGAACGACGATGATGCTCTCGGACATCCTTGGCGACTCTGGCCGCGCCGCCCCCCGCAAGGCGCCCGTGCACCTCGACATCGATGCCCCGTACCCGTCCTGGTCGACGCCGTCGCCGTCGTCCTCTGTTATCTCTACCGGCACGACCGAAGACTCGAGTTCCGGCGATGAATTCGTGCACCAGCGCCGTTTTGCACCCACGACGGCCGCCAAGGCAGCGACGAAGAAGACCAAGACGCGCACCAAGGCCGACGAGCAGTCCAACAAGGAATTCCGCCGCGAGTACAAGAAGGAGTGGTACGAGAAGAACCGCGAGAAGGCGCTCGCCAAGATGAAAGAATACTACGAGCGCCGAAAGCAAGCCGGCACGCTCCATCGCCGCTCCAACAAGAAGAAGCCGCGCCGAGCGTCGAGTCGTCGCCGGCGTCGTCGTGCCAAGACGAGCCGATGACGATGTCGCCGAACGCGCACTGCGTGCCCGTGATGCCACGCCAGTCGACGATGCCAGCTCTATTTATCCACGAAGATCCCCGGACGACACAGTACTCGTCGCCACCCGTCTCGGCGCTCCGCCCGCCGTCGCGGTTCGGCGTGTATGACCACGCGCCGCAGTTCACGCCCATGCCCCACCACCACTACCACCAGCACCACCACGACACTCGTGCGTTCGAGTATACGCCTTACCACCCCCAGCAGCCCCAGGCGCTCCACCACCACCACCACCATCCTATGCACCAACAGCATCAACACCAGCAGCAACATCAACAACAACAACCTCCGCAGTCCGACAGTCACTTGAACCTGTTATGCCACGTCGCGCTCATGGACTAGCTACGCGTCTTGCATGTCACCACCACGAAATTCTCCCAACAACTCTAGACGTCCGTCTTCTGGACATATAATTACGTAGCCGTATCATCAAATCTAATATGTTAATAAGCACCACCCCACTATACTCGTCGAGCATGTTCTTGTTCTTGCAGGTTCGTGCGGGCCACGCGTTGGGCTCTGCATTGAAGCTTCGAGGCGCAGGTTTCCCTCGTCCGTCCCTAACGTTACTCACAAGTCGCGGGCGTCTCAAGTGGGTCCTGGCTTCAACGTGCGCTTCGGCCCGATGCACCCAAGTCGACTGCCGAGCGACGAGATGAATAATAATGAATCTTCATCTCGTCCGCACCGTCCTTGTCGCCTTCCCAAAGACATCACGCGCCGCCTGTCTTGGCGCACCAAGTAGCCAAGTGTTGTGCATCGAGCGCCGTTTCCAGGCCCATTGAAATGACATGGCGCACGCCGACCTCACTGCCCGTGGATAATCAATCGCTAGGCTGGCAGGTTCAACACGTAGGTTCTGCCGAGCGCATCGCTGATTGGCCAGGTGATGCGTACGAGACACTTTTGATAAACGAGTGTCCGGCTCGCGGATCTTAAAGGCGCGGCGCCTGTTCAAGATCCAGTTCCGCGAGCCCGCGCCGCCAGCTGCGAGTTCCGATTCCGCCGTCGGTTGTTCGGTAGCCATGGGCTGGCAAGCTCGTCCATACAAACTCTAGAGTACAGCAGCTCTCGAGACAGCCATCATGCAGCTCTGGCACGCCCTCGTCGTCGCCATCGCCGCCACCGACGCGACCCGTGCGTGCTTGCGCCACCTCATCGTTCTCGCTCACGCTGCCCGTGCGTAGAATGCCCCGCCAACATGCAGCCCGTGAGTGTCTTGGGCCTCGCCGAGGTGCAGTGCGTCGCGTCCACGCCGTGCTCTGGCATCTACGCCGCCGCCGGTGCGACCAATACGGACGACGACGTAAAGACTCATCGCGCTTCTAGGTACGCCGGTCGGGTCTTGCCCCGTGGGCACTTTTTGCAGCGTGTTTCCCGACAACGAGCTCGTCATGGTCATGCGCTGTGCGACCGACGGGTACCCCGGTGCCATCTCACTCAACGCCGACGGCAGCATGCGCCGCCCCACAACGTCCGCTCCCGGCACGACGCCACCGTCGACGGTGAGCCCAAGCGCCATTCCCACGCCTCTGCCCAGCCCGTCAACACCAAGAGCCACGACGCTGTCGCCAAATGCAACGACGTTCGCGCCGAACAGCAACCGCAGCACCGCGCCACCGCTGACCGAGCCGATTCTTGTGACACCCGAGCCGTCCTCGATTGTCATTCCTGGGCAACCAACGACCGCCCCGAACTCGGCCAACCAGTCGGCCGAGACGCCTGCCACCGACAGCGCGGGCATCGGCGCGTCTGCGATCATTGGGATTTGCATTGGCGCTGTGGCACTTGTGGCGATTGCCATCGGCGTCCGCGTCGTGCACGGGCAAAAGGAGCCGATGGCAGAGTCGACCGTCGAGGCCGCGGACGGGTATACGCTCACGCCTCGACGCCACGTCGTTCTGCTCTAAGTCGGACGACGCTGTACACTGTTCCGTAGTATATAATCCAGTCGACCTATTTGTTGTGCGTCTACAGGCTTGCGTAGTTGGCGACGAGCTGGTCGAGCCGCAAGAAGCACGACTCGAAAACTCGGCGTCAACGTTGTGCGCTGCATACTGGTGGACATACGCCTTGGAGGCGTACATGCAGTGGGCCTTCTCGACCATCCTCGAGAGCGGGCGCAGCATCGCCTGCGAGTTCCTAATTGGGCTCGTTGCCAAAAAGCCACCGCAATGAAAACGTACGAGACGAGTGCGGCCGCCTTGTCGTACTGACTAAAGGGTCGCGGAGAGGCAAAGACGTGGCTACTCGCATGTGCCCACGGTGCATACCTAAGTCCATCCACGCCCGTCATCGAATGAACAGCGATTGGCGCGTACATGCGTGGGTCGGCAAAGCTCTCGAGCGCCCGCGTGGCGACCGTTGCACTCTCGGGGCCGCGCAAGAACACGAGGTTCCCGATGCTTTGATTCACTTCTTTTCGTGGCGACGCCTCTACTTGTTGTCGTGAAACGGGGCACACAGGATGGATCCCAAGTCGTCATCGATACCTAGCGAGATGCCCCAGTTGATGCCTTCGTCGAGGCTGCAGTTGGCGATTTGCATCTAGTAGAGTAGGTGTTGGCGCACTCCACTCGTCTAGTGTGTACCTGGTGCAAGTGCTTGAGGATCCCCGACCACTGATGCGTGCTAAACTCACGGGACCGCCTCGAAAGCTACGACATTTCTCGTCATTTCGGATGTTGCGTCCGACGAACCTGCGGCACGAGCTTCGTGTCGAGGAGCTTGTAGCCCTAGGACCATCGTGTCAACTTTGCTCGGACAGAATTAAAGTGGCAACGCACGGGGTGTGCGCAGAGCTCGCGCAAGATGGTTGGCAGCATGCACGCGGAGCGCGCCTATCGTTTGCGCGCCTGGATTGATACCTTGATACTATTTCTTTTCTCACGCCGTACACCGGCAGCAGTAGCAGGCAGCAAGATGGACGCAATGTGATTCGCAAGCACGTGGTTCATCTGGTCGAGCGACGGTTTGGGGATCGTGAGCAGCTTCTGGCACGCGCGGTCAGCCATGTCGTTCTGTAGCAAGAGAATCCCGTCCGACGACTAGCTTTCTTGCGTTAGACCAAAAGCATCGAGATCGGATCGAGCACCTCGGAGAGGCACGCCATGGTGAGCAGTGTGTTGTAGTTCTGCACGATGATCTCGCCGGCGTCGTAGGGCCAAATGACCGTGTGGAGGCGATGCGCCGTCGGAAAGTGGTCGTGGAGAAGGTCTGCGACGAACGAACCCAGTCCAGAGCCCGTGCCACCGGCAAGGCTCTGGATTGCGTGAAAGCCCTTGAAGTAATCGCAGTGCTCGACCTCCTACGTCACAACGTTGGTTGCAGCGAGGCTCGAGGTGAGAGGACGTACGCGCTGGAGAACCTCGAGAATGGCCTCGGCGCTAGCTGCTCCGTGCACCGTGTAGCCGTGCGCCCAGTTGTTGCCTAGTACCAGAGGGCACTCGCGACGATTACAGTGTGCGATCGACATGCAGCGTACCCGAGCCGCTTTGGTGGCACACGCTGTTGTTGCGGTCGTACTGCCAGCGCCCCGTCGCTGCCGCACGATCCTGGCATTGCGCGACCACCTACGCTCGTGTTGGGATGAGGCGCGCGTCTCGATGGGTCGTCGCCGACCTTGGGCTCCATGTCGATGAGCACTGCCCGCGCCGTGGGCGACGGACCGCGGAAGAAGATGTCCATCTCCAGCGGCGCCTCGAGCTCGGTCGCTAGCTTGTCAAAGAGCGCGTAGCCCTACGGTGTATGAGTGCCACTCGTCGCAGCGAGCAGCGACTGACGAGCTGGTTGCCGCATTGCCCGAGCTGCAGCGTCACGATCGACATGGTGCTGGGACAAACGGCTCTCCGATTTCGGACACGTTTTTAGCCCAAATAATGGGTTAAATGGGTGGGTTCTTAGAAATAACGCGGGTTCAACGGTTTAACGTCGTTTACCTCGAACCAACGTGTTGCGATCTTCCAACGCTTTCTGTCAAATCGAGTCCATCGAGCACGTGCATGCCACACTCGGGTGGACGTAGCAGCTAGCGCGTGATAGACACCATAATCAATGTTATCCTGTTGTTGCATGCGTAGCCTAACAATCCTAATAAGGTGACTCCTCATGCCATCAAGGCAGCGTGGCAAAGCAGTGCCAGCGGGGACGAGCTGGCGTCGTGTCCTTCGATGGCCGCTTTGCGCTCGAGTCGCTTTTGCTTGATGGCGTCGCGGTTTCGGCGGTACCATTCTTGCTTGTACTCACGCTGCCGGTCGCGGTGCTTGTGCCGGTACGCTTTCATCTGTTGCAGTCGCTTCGCTCGGTTCTTGGCGTCGTAGCCGCGCTGCTTCTGGAGGCGCTCGCACCGGTGCTTTTGGTACCACTCGCGCTCGAGTTCGCGCCGCCGGAGCGTCTTATGGAGCGCGACATCGCATTGAAGGCCGTCGTCGCTGGCCATTGAGCCTTTTTGTCAACTGAATATCGGTTGCAGCCGATTTTTGCGATCTTAAAACGGATCAAAACGCTGTTGCCGATGCATGTCAAACCGCCGTCGATCGTTCTTTTAGTCGATTTCTTTGTTCTTTTAATCCAATTCGTTGTTCTTCAAGTCTGCCCATCCGTGCTTCTACTCGCGGGGCGTCGTTCGAGGTGGCGGTCGCACCACGACGACCGACAGGACAGACAGGGCGGTGGCGAACGCGTCGTATCGATGGTAGATGGTACGCGGGCGTCGGTTCTTTTAGTCTTTCTTTTATACATTAAAGAACCGTCTCGAAACGACACCGCGCAGTTCTAAGAAGGGATGAAACGCTGGCCGTACCTCGCACTCTTCTTCGCCAACGCGGTCGTGGCCGCGCTGCTGGCGACCTATGGACAAGGTTGTCCATGAATTGAATGACAATTGGCAATGACAATATGCCACTAGACCTGCTGGAGCTGTCGCCAGCGATCGGCCGCTGCGATCGGCACGCGAACGCCCACTGCCTTGGCCAGCAAACCATCTACCGGTACTGCACCTCTTCATGGTCCTCGAGCGACAAGAATCGCGTCTCGTGCTAGCGCAAGTGCGACGATCTCGGCCTTCTTCCTTCTGCTCATGCTGCTGAGTGTGCTCTACGAGCGCCGCGCGTTCCGGAGCCGCCTCGTGCTGGGCTGCCAACTGCCCATGTACCTCGGCGCACTCACCGGCGCCTTCTTCCTGCCCAACGGTACGCCGCCATCCTCCTCCTCCTGCTCTACGAGGACGACGGCGTGCGGTTATCATAGAGGTGTTTGACGCCTACGCCTACCTTGCGGCCGTGCTCTCGGGCATCTTTATCCTCATGCAAATCGTGATCCTCCTCGACTGCGTCTGTACGAAGCCTCTGATGCGATTCGACCGACACGTTTGCGTGCGAGTAGACCACGTGCGGGACAGCCTCCTCGACCGGCTGCAGGACCCCAAAGCGCCCCGATCGTGTCTCTGGTACGCCGTTGAAACAATCGTTCGTTTCTGCATCGGTGGCTAGGCCGTGCGTCTACCTCGGACTCTCGCTCACAGGCCTGGGCTTGGCCACGCTCGGTCTCGTCGTTCTGGTGCGTCGTACTATTACAATCTGAAGCGAGGAGGCGTGACATGTGGTGTGGCTAGTTTTATTACTACGCCGCGTCGCCCCTCGGACTCGGCTTTCTCATCGTGACTTGTGTGTCGATTCTGGTCGTTGTGCCTCTCAGCGGTAGCTTGGCACGATCTTTTTCTCGCCAAGAAACCTTGGAGTAGTGGCGGATCGGGTTGGCGCGGGCCTCTTACCGCCAGCCGCCATCGCGCTCTACCTCGTGTACCTTCTCTGGCAGGCGCTGCTCATGCTCCCCGACTTTGAACCTGCCTTTCTCCAAGGCGAGAGCCGAGCCAGCACCATCTCGATTCCAAGCACCATCATTGCAGCACTGACCGACTCCTACACAGGGTACTACTCCATGCCGATACTTAGTACGCTGCATGTGTAAACGATGAGATGCAGGTGGCGAACGTCCTGTGCTGCGTCATCTCTCTTCCGCTTGGAGCTCCCCGAAGCCCAAACAGAGGTTCTATGTATCTCATCGAAGCATCTCTCAACAGCGTGGAGTAGACTGCGCTGGATGCCGTTGGCGCCGAAGCCGGCCGCAATGTCGTCGACATTGAACCGCAGATCGTTGCGCCGAGCTGGCAGTTCCACTGCATCCTGCTCTTCAGCGGTCTCTACATGGCCATGGCGCTCACCAACTGGGGCGTCGGCGCAGGGTATTATCCGTTTTGTTTCAAGTTGATACAATCTGATGATGGGCGTGCTGTTAGAAAGAGTGACACGCAGCGCGTGAGCATGTGGGTTCAAATTGCATCGCAGTGGGCGACGACACTGCTTTTTACGTGGACGCTCATCGCACCGGTCGTGCTTCCCGATCGCGATTTCTCCTAGTAACTCGATCAACATGTTGGTATGCATGCTTCAAGCAAGAGGCGTGAGATGGCTCGTGCACTAGACGGGCGAGATCACGCCCCGCTCAATGAGGTCGGGCACTTCGGCGGCCAGCCACGGAGCGAGCTACATGCGATGTGTTGATGCGCTGGAGACAAGAGGATGCGACGTACGCCCAGGGCGAGCGCGTGGGCGATGCCAAACCGGGGTACATTGCGCTGCCAGAGCGGCTGAAAGTGGATCGTGAGGCAGATCTTGCCGCCGCTACCGTCGCCTTTAGACCAGACTATTGTACAGATAGATGGAAGACATACCGGTACATCTTGGCCGTCTTGCCATCCAGCTCGGGCAAGCTACCATGCCAGAAAGTGTCTGCGAACATGGTATCTAGGCCGCACCAGATCTCGGGGTTGGTCACAGGGTACGTGGCTGGGATCTCAAACTCCATCTCAAACTCATACCTAAACCAATAGTACGGGCCGACTGTCGCGACGAAAACAAGATCGCACCGCAGGCCGTTGTGGAACGACCAGCACGTGCCCGTCCAGCTACATGGTCCATGAGGTCTTCTGCATGCAGCCAGCCATGTACCGTGTGCCATTGGCGTTGGACGAGATCGTAAACCAGTCGTTGTCCGCAGCCTTGTTCATTTGCACATACTACCATCGCAGCATGAGCCGAGGTAGCCTCGCATGGCCTGCCTGGATGAGCGCCGTGTACTCTTCCTTGAGGCGCGCGATCCATGCGTCGCCATCGCGCGGGCCCGCGCGCGTCGCCAGCAGCGGCAGCTTCTGCACCGTGCGCTTCGTCCCATCGTCGATCGGCGCGTCCATGCTTATTGCGATCTGCCAGCGTATCCGGATATCATTTCCGGAAATGAGGCTAAACGCACGCCACGTTTCCATGGTGTCGCCCGATATGCAACAGCCAAAATGTCCAATGGATGCGCTGAAAGATATAGCGTGGGGTGTAGTATTATGGGCGTATGCAATCGAGGAGGAGGATGGAGGCGGACTACATCATGCGGATTTCGAGCTGGTTGAGGCGCTCGTTGGTGCCAATCGGAAGGCGGACGTTGATCATGCCGGTGAACGACACGACGGCCTTGGCCTTGGCGCGGAGCTGCTGGCACATTTGCTTTTGCGTCTCGAGGTCCGAGATCGACTGTTTCCAGCGCTTCATCTCTTCGACGAGGCACTCCATGTACCCAAGCAGGACAAGGTGCAAGTTGCGCTGCACTTGGGCGTCAAGGTCCGCGAACCGATCCGCGCTCGCCTGTTCGCTGCCCTAAACACCGCGATCACGACCAATTCCAAGAGACGAGGTCACCATACCGGCGCCGGCACGATTGCAAGCGCCTCGACAAACGCGAGGCCATCGCTGTACTTTTTCTCCTCGAGGATCTCGAGGAAGAGCCCAAAGTTCATGAGCGTCTGGAACGCATGCGCGGCGACGCGGGCTTGGTTGAGCACGATCTCGAGAGCCCACGCCGACCGAAGCCACGTGTCGGCAAACGACCGCGCGTGGTTGAGCCAGTTCTGGCGGTCCGGCGTCGAGAGCGTTGCCGCCAGCTGCGCGTTCAGCAGCACCATGGTGCTCTGGACGTCGCCCGCCAGCGTGAGGAGCTTGAGCGCGTCCGACGGTCGACCTTGGTCGGTCGCCATGTGCGACGTGTAGAGCACGATGTCGCGGACCTCGTTGCGGTCGAGGTACTGGTCGAGTGCGCCGGGCGTTCGGGACGCGTCCGAGGGGTGCGTCGTGCCGCCAAGGACCTCGAACGCCAGCGTATCGAGAAGCAGCGTCGCACTCAAGAGACGGCGGTCGTCGATCGACTGGTGGCAGGCAATGTACATGGCCGCTTCCTGCGGGTTGGAGCGCTGGAACGAGTGCACGTACTGCCGCAGGAGGCGCGTAAAGAGGCTGTGGTTGGGGAAGAGGCCGACGTGGTGGAGCGCCAAGGCAAAGTGGACGGCCTCGACAAGGTAGCCTTTCGCCGCGAGCGACTCGACCGCCGTGTCAAACTGGCCGCAGACGAGCAGGAGGCGCACGTACTCGAAGACGCCCGAGATCGTCGTGTGGTTGAAATCGGACGGCGACACAAGCGTCACGACCTTGGACGCGATCGCACTCGGCGAGGCTTCCGACGCGTGGGCAAACCACTGCAGCTGCCACAAAAAGTCCTCAATGTTCTCCATGACGCCGGCCTGGCGCGCAAAGGCGTCGTGGAAGCTCAAGAGGTTCAACACGGCAACTTGAAACTTGTCGACGGCCGGGTCGACGGCAAGGAGGAGCGTCGCCAGGTGATCGCACTCGTCCCGCATCGCGGCCTTGGTCGGTGCCGGCACAGGCTGCTTCTTGAGAAGGCTCTGCAGCGCGTTCTGTACAGAGAGTAGTGTGACGCGACCGAAGAACAGAAAGAACAGGTGTGTAGATGGTACCTGGACGTGTTGGAGGAGCTTGGTCGACGCTGGCGCCTTGCTCAGAGCTTCGTCGACAAGCGACAGCGCATCGTTGAGAATGCCTGTCCGAAGGCAATAGTAGACGTCGCTCCAGAGACTGGTCTGGCGCAGGACATGGCGCGTGTACGTCTGCACAAGCGCCTTGACGCCGGGGACGCCGCCACGCGGCGCCTGCTCCTGGCGAATTCGGCTCTCGATGAAGAGGCGGTACCGGAGCTCAAAGTGCGTCTGTGCGCCGCCTGCGAGCGACTGGAGCAAGGACGCGTCCTGCGACGCAAACGCCGACTGGAGCGAGAGCTTGGCCGGCGCGCCCCGTTCAAAGTTGACCATGTGACGAAGGAGCTCCCAGCTGCAGAGCGTCTCTTGTTCGAGCGTCGATGCGGATGCCTGCGCCACAAGGCTCTGTGCGCTCGTCTCGAACGCCTGGAAGACATCACCCGACGTTGCAGCCGCGCGGGGCACGAGCTTCTGCGTGACCGTCGCGTAGACCTTCATCGCCTCCGTCATCGTGCTCGGGACGTTCTGAAGAGGCGCCGGCATCGGCGTGGCCGTGAGCCCGACGACAGACGGAGGCACGGACGTCGACGGCGACGGGCGAGGGTACGCAAGTGGCGCCTGTCGGCCTTGCAGGTACGCCATGAGCTTCGTCTTGGACGTCTGGAACTCGTCGTGGAGCGTGTTGAGCGCGTTCTGCTGCGCGGCCCGGGTTGTCGCCGCCATGGTCTCTTCGATCGCCGTCACAACGATCATGTCGTGGTGGTGACGCAGGAATCCGTCAAGGTCGCTCACACCGACGAGCGTGTCCCGCGGCTCGTACGCTGCCTTGAGCTCGCTCTGGCGGAGCTCGCGGCTAAGCTTCTCGGCGTCAAAGCCCCGGCCTGCCAAGAGGAACTGCGCCTTGTTGCTCGAGGAGGCGGCGTCGGCCGGTGGGCCCGCCAGCGACTTGGCGCTCGTGACCGCGTGAAGCTGATCGAGGCTGCGCTGGAGGGAGGGGAGCTGCTCCATGCCCCGCGTGAGCTGCAGCGAGTTCTGGTACAAGCTCTCGAAGTCGAGCTTGGGCTTCTTGGACGCATGCTCGGCCGCGCCCGGAGCCTCGCTCCGCGTCGTCGTACTCATGGGTTGGCTGGCAGGGATTTTATATGGCCGCAATTGAAAACAATGGTTTTTAGCCAATCATATCGAGCCAAAGCCCACATACGACATCCGATTGGCCAAAATCGTACGTCGGGGTCGTTTTACGTATGCGGATCCGGATACCACAACGATCTTGGTGCGTTCAGGACCTCCACGTTGGTCGTCGCCACCCAGCGGATTGCTACCCGCAGCACACATTGGCAGTGGCGCATCATGTCAGCATGTGTCAATATCATCCATCTCTGCAAGACAATATTGCGCGCGGACAGAAGTTTGTCTCGGCCAGCGCCCGGAAATCGTCCTACAATTCTACCGGTCCACTGCGCCGGTATGCAACGTCTGCTGGGCTAAGAACTCTCAACATACGTCGGGCCCCAATGGTCGGGCCCCTTGACGCTTGCTACCATAAAAAGTACCCGTCATGGAGGCAACTTGTCGGAATCGTTGGGTGTCGAAATCTTCGAAGGTTGAAGTTGGTTCGCGCCTTCTTGAACCGACGCGCTTGGATCGGGCCCTCTCGGGCCTTGTATGCGTCCAATCACTTGTTCGATTCGAACACGGCCATCCGCGATACCTTTTGGTCACGTCCCTTCTGCATGCACTCGCGCATTCGCCGTCTGCTGGAGCCATGGCGTCGCCGTTCTTGACGGTCGAAGACATCAAAATGTGCTTTTCTATCTTTTGCTGCGTCTGCGGCGTCGGGTCCCTCGGCCTTGCCGGCAACTATGCGAGCGCTGGCTACGCGTGGGCGACAGCCGCCTTTGTCTTTATGGCCGTCGCCAACACGTACGCCACGTGGTGCATCTCCAAGGTGCTTCTTGTCGCGCCGCGCAGCGTGTTTACCTTTGGCGACTTGGGCGAGTGGTGCCTCGGCGTGCCCGGCCGATATGTCACCATCATCTCGCAGTGCCTCTTCTGCACGCTGCTGCCGATCGTGTTTCTGGTCCTCGGCGGGTCGCTGCTCGTGATTCTCTTCCCAAACTCGTTTTCGCACACGACGTGGATCGTCTTGATGGCCATTACGCTGCTGCCGATTTGCCTCGTGCCGACGATGAAGGAGGGCGCGGGCATGGCGGCGGCCGGCTGCTTGGGCACGGTCTTCGCCGACTCGATCGCTCTCTACCTCCTCATCGTCAACATGCACGACGTCAACTCGAGTGGCGTCTCGCCGCCGTCGCCGGCCGTCGACTTTAAGAGCGTCACGACAGTCTTTGGGAATCTCGCACTCGCCTACGGCGCGTGCATCATCATTCCAACGCTGCAGCACGAACACTCGCAACCCGAGCGCATGCCGCGGCTCATTTTGGTGGCCCAGACGCTGATCTCGGTGTTTTTTTTCCTCGTCTCGGTGCTCGGTGTCTTCTCGACGGGCTGCCAAACCCCCGGCAACCTCCTCTTTGCGATTGCGAGCCCCAACCTCGGCTTCACGGCGGACCGCGGCCTCGTGATCCTCAGCTTTATCTTTATGCAGCTGCACGTCACGATCGCGTTCTCGGTCATTTTCTTCCCCGTCTTCCAGATCCTCGAGCGCCTCTTCTTGGGCCTGCACGGAGACGCGCCGCGGACGTCGACGGCGCACAACCTCATCATGGAGACACCCGTTCTCGACGGGCTCCAAGGCACCGGGTTTGGCGACGACAAGGTCCACCGCGAAGTCATCGATGCGTACGCGGCGCCCGGCGCGTACCTCAAAGCCGCCATCTTGCGCACCATCATGGTCTGCGTCTGCGTCATCATCGCGGTGGCGTGGAAGGACCACCTGGGCGCGCTCATGGATTTCGTCGGCGCGTCGACGTCGTCGCTCATCAACATGATCCTCCCGATCCTCTTTTACCTCAAGACGTTTTGGCCCACCGTCTCGGTCGGCGAAAAGGTCTTTGCGGTGCTTTGCATTGCGATCTCGTGCTTTCTCGCCGTGTACGTCTCGATCCAAACCGGCCAAGAGCTGTTCGCGCCTGAGGCTGCCAACCCCGCGATCCTTTTCCCGAAGTGCCCCGCCGAATACCAGCGAGTTGTCTTTACCAACACGAGCTACTACGCCCGCCCGTTGTAGATGTAGAGAATATCCTGGCTCTACATATGACTGTTTTGTTCTACTTTCGATCGTTGAAACTCGAGTGATCGCCGCGGTGGTTCCGATGCCGTTGTCACGAGTAACACGATTCGTGCGCCTACGGTCCACCTTGAGTCTACGGCATCCAAATGTCCATGCATTACTACTTGATAGACCGATATTTGACTATTTGCAAAGTGCTCCAAAACAGTACAGGATGACAAGCATTACACGTCCTCGTCGTCGACCTCGGGCAGTGGCGCGTTCATGGCTGCGACGTAGTCGACCTCGAGACGGGCAAGCATCGATGCATCCAACTCGAGCGCTGGGGGATGGATCGCGATTGCATCGGTAAACCTCACTTTCGTCGCCAACGAGCTTGCGCACGAGATGGCAAAAAGGTTTGTCAAGTTGGTGGTTGAGCCTTGACGGAAATGTCATAGTACTTCAGGTTCTTCTGGCGGTGGAACGTGATCTGCTTGGGCTTGACCTCGCGGTGCTGGACGGCGTCGACCTTGTTGCCACAGAGCACGATCGGAATGTTCTCGCTGACGCGGACAACGTCCAGGCGCCAATTGGGTACGTTCGTGTACGAGAGGCGCGACGTGACGTCAAAGATGATGATTGCGCCATGGGCGCCGAGGTAAAAGCTGTCGCGGCAGCTCTGACCGGCAATGTCCCAGCAGTTGAGCCGCACCGGTCCAAAAATGGCCTCGAATCGGAGCGTGTGGGCTTCGATATTGGGCGTGGCGGTGTACCCCTCCTTGAACTCGCCTGCCAAGTGGCGCTGCAGGAGCGCCGATTTGCCGACGCCGCCATCGCCAACGACGAGCAGCTTGAACTCCGCTACTGGCTACATGCTCGATCCTTGAGGAATCGACTCGAAATGAATTGTGATTGGAATTTAACGGACAATTTGAAAAACGCACCAAGATGCGGCATCTGATTGATGGTCTCGTTTGCAGACAATATGTCCAATAGAGAATGATGGTCTAATGTCCAACTTCGATGCTATCAAGAACCGTATGGGTCGTCTTGGTTGACGCTCACGGAGTCCATACGACACAGCTGCAAGTAGCAAATTTACGCGTATTGAAAGTATTAATACCTCTACCTGGAGGCACATGCATCGAACATCAAGACATCTGAAGACAAGGAGTGACATACGCGATAAGCTAAACTCTATGGAAGCGAAGGTTTTGTCAACACGATTTCAATACTAGTACGTCGCACGTCTAAATGAACATGTACCACGTAGTATGCAGTTTGATCCTCTCAGCTTGGATTATTAGACTATCAACCCTTTCCGGTTGTTAGCTAAAGGTCGTCGTTGTCGTCGGGAAGCGGTGCCATCGCGGCTGCAAAGATTTCGGCTTCCAGAGCAGCGATTTGCACCGGATCCATGACGATTGGCATTGGAGGGTAATCGCGCGCGATCTCAATGAATTCCACGTTGTCGTCTCCAGCGAGCTTGCGCGCGAGCCAGAGAAAAGGCGCCTCAATGTTGTAGTTGGCCTTGACCGACATCTCGACATACTTGAGATTCTTCTCACAGTGAAAAGTGATTTGCTTGACATTGTGCCGCTCGACGTCGACCTTGTTGCCGCAGAGTACGATCGGAATGTTCTCGCAGACGCGGCGAATAGCGCGATACCAGTGAGGCACATTTTTGTACGAGACACGCGACGTGACGTCAAACATGATGATCGCGCACTGGGCGTCAGCGTAGTGGTCATCGTGAGAGCCCTGGCCAGCAAAGTCCCAGCAGTTGAACTTGATTGGGCCAAAGTTGGTGTCAAACTGGAGCGGGTGGACCTCGATGCCGAGCGTGGCGATGTACCTCTTCTTAAACTCGCCCGTCACATGACGTTGTAGGAACGTCGACTTGCCGACGCCGCTATCGCCAACGACGAGGAGCTTGATTTCCGGTACTAGTACACGATATGAATATCTCATATTTTGATCCAGCCAATTCATGATGGATATGGTGGAAGGAAATTCTAAAATGTAAGAGACCTGTGTACAGGACGCATCTGATTATGAGCATTGATTACTTGTTTTGTTGCGTAGTGAATGATGGTACTTTTCACAATAGCAAAATAGTCTACTTACCGGGATTACCACTATGGGTTTCTTTTCCATTTGACCCATTGGTCCTACCAATGCAAGTTGCGTTCGACTGGAGTACGGTAGCCGTGCGAAGATACAATTGCAGGGGCTTGGACAGTGTACATGGTAGTTGTAGGTCTGACCTATCCCTTTACATTGGAGCCGCACGCGACTCTTCTTACATGCCACTTTTGGTAGCCATCGGAATCGTTCCCATGGCTCACTTCATCTTGAAGGACTCCCGGCGCGGGAGGGTTAGCTTTAGTGGTATAAGTCCGATGCAACTGCCGGCTTCACGAGAGACGACTTCCCCTCGCTGTTGTTTGAGCTTGCACCGCGAACGCTTTTGACAAAATATACGCAAGTCTCGAAACCTCTCTCGCAAAATGAAAAAGAACAAGTCGCTGGGCGCCCGACGAGTTGCAGCGGGCCAGCGAAGATGGGTTTCATCGTCGACTATCTGCCCATTGAGATTTGACCTCGATCGAGTGGAAGAAGAAGCGCGTCAAGTACGACAAGGCGCTGCGAGAAGAAGAAGCGGGTTGTGCATGCTTTGATTGTTGGGTGCGATCAAGTTGTTATGATAAAAGCTAAATGTCGTCGTCCTCATCGGGAAGAGGCATGCTTTTGGCCCACAGTGCGTCGGCCTCGAGTCGGGCGATTGCTTCTGGGCCACAATCTATTAGCTCAAAACAAGGGTCTCTGCTAACCTGACCAAAAGTCAAGTTGTCGTCTCCAGCGAGCTTGCGTGCGAGGTAGAGGAAGGGCATCTCCAACGCCACGGAGGTCTTGGCCGAAATCTCGCAGTACGGAAGGTTCTTCTTGCGATGAAATGCGATTTGCTTGCCTTGTACGTTGCGGGTCATGGCGTCGATCTTGCTGCCACAGAGCACGATCGGGATGTCCTCGCAGACGCGGACAATGTCGCGATGCCAGCACGGGACGTTCTTGTACGAGATGCGCGACGTGACGTCAAACATGATGATCGCGCACTGGGCGCCAACGTAGTAGCCGTCACGAAGGCCGCCAAACCTCTCCTGACCGGCAATGTCCCAGCAGTTGAACTTCATTTCGCCAAAGTTGGTATCAAACAAAAGCGGGTGGACCGCGACGCCAAGCGTAGCAACGTCATCGTTCGTGTCGAACTGACCTGTCAAGTGGCGCTTGATCAGCGCCGATTTGCCAACGCCCCCGTCGCCAACGAGAAGAAGCTTGAACTCGGGTGTGTGGCTCATCGTAGCCTGTCAACTTCTGGTGCAAGGTCAAGTTTCTGAATGACGGGCCTAGCTAACCTCAATGCACATGGGATCCAAAATTGCAGATTCTGTTGCGCCACCAATCACAGCGACGTTTTCTGCAGCCGACATCCGACCAACGCTGTGGACAGGCGCATGTCCACCGTCACTCACTTGGTTCGTGCACCCACAACAGCCACACCGTACGTGATGGTCGCCTTGTGGGCGAATCAATTGATAAAAGCTCGATCCATAGTCCATAGAAGCGTTCGATGCCTTCTTTGACTACGTGGTGTACTCCCTCATTTCATGGCTCTGGGTGGTCGGTATAAATGCGAACGTTATTAATAAATGCTTAAATATAGTCGTCCTCGTCAGGTAAAGCCACGTTTCTCGCGGCCGCATAGTCGGCTTCAAAGGCGGCCAGCAGCCTCGCATCCATGACGAGGTCCGACATGTAGCAGCAGCAGGCGGCGGGCGGGTCCACAAACATCACGTTGTCGTCCTCGAAAACCTTGCGCGCGAGCCAGAGAAAAGGCGCCTCAATGTTGTAGTTGGCCTTGACCGACATCTCGACATACTTAAGATTCTTCTCACGGTGAAAAGTGATGTGCTTGACATTGTGCCGCTCGACGTCGACCTTGTTGCCGCAGAGTAGGATCGGAATGTTCTCGCAGACGCGGCGAATAGCGCGATACCAGTGAGGCACATTTTTGTACGAGACACGCGACGTGACGTCAAACATGATGATCGCGCACTGGGCGTCAGCGTAGTGGTCATCGTGAGAGCCTTGGCCAGCAAAGTCCCAGCAGTTGAACTTGATTGGGCCAAAGTTGGTGTCAAACTGGAGCGGGTGGACCTCGATGCCGAGCGTGGCGATGTACCTCTTCTTAAACTCGCCCGTCACATGACGTTGTAGGAACGTCGACTTGCCGACGCCGCTATCGCCAACGAGCAGCAGCTTGTAGCTTGGTATTTTAGCCGGCCCGCACATGCGTCGGAGGCGAAATGACAGACGCGTGACTTGAGATGCAATAAAATGATGGTCCGTTGTTGCTAGATTGTGGTGGCGACGAGAATGTCGGTATTTTAAGGCTTTTAATTGGCTGAATTGACACCTCCAAGTCACTGCTGATTGGCTCAAATGACACATTTCATGGCCTCACCGCAGCGGCAACTACACTGTGGGCGCAAGAGCGTCCGACGGGCCCGATCTCTTGCTAGTAATCGACCAAACCACCGACGTTGGCTACATCCTAGCAATGGGGCGCCTCGCGAGCAGCACTACAACCAAAAGTCTGATGGCTTGCTAAAACATAAACCTGTCACATTTAGTACAGTATTCGATCACAAAGGTTTCCGGACCGATATGGCAACCGAGGAGGCCAGCGACTGGGCAGAGGCCCGCGACGAAGGCTTCTTTGCCGTCGAGAACGCCGAGCACGCGCCGGCCGACGCAACAAGCGACGTCGCCAGCATCGATAGCGTCGACAGCAGCAGCGATGCATCGGTGCTCCACGGCGCATGCCCCGTCTGCCTCAAACCGCTCGTCGACGGCGTCCTCGTCGCCGCCTGCCTCCACGAGTTTTGCCGCGCGTGCATACTTCAGTGGGCCGACCACTTGCGCGACCGAGGTGCGCCCGTGCGATGCCCCATCTGCCGCACGCCATTCGCACAGCTCTATACGAATGTCGCGTCGGCCGACGACTACGACGTGGAAGACCTCGCGACGACCGCGCCGTCCCCACGCAGCTTGGCCCGACGACAGCGCGCACTTGTCTATCGCCGCGCCTCGGTTTCAGTCGCAGACGCTCGCCGCCGGCAGTGGCCTGTCATCTACAAGACGAACGACCAGGCCATGTCCTGGATACGACGAGAGCTCGGCGTTGTGCTTGGCGCGACCACCGACACGAGCCTCCTGCAACAGATCATCGCATCCCAGCTTGTAGAGATTCGGATGGACGATGCCAGTCGAAAGCGCAAGCATTCGCAGCACGGGTATGTGCGCCTTGTCGACGCCCTGCATGGCTTCTTGGACGACGACGCTGCCACGTTTGTGGTCGAGCTCTCGAGGTACATGGGCAGCCGGCTCAACCTGGCAGCGTACGACGAGCAAGCGTTATAGAAGCAGTGCGGTTGACGACAATAATAGAGGACAACAGACAACGTTACAGCGTATTTCAAGACGCATGTCAATGTGGCCGGCGTGGGGACGCCGCGCGACCGTCGCGCTTGCATCGACGCTGGTCATCACATCGCTCGCGATCCACGCCGCGCTCACACTCGCAGCAGCACCAAGGTACACGTGCGCCAGAGCCTGCCAAGTATCAACCACATACACACTTGATAGCTCGATACCGTCGGTCGAGGTGTCGAGGCGTCGCTTTTCTGTCGCCGCAAGGACGCTTCAGCGCGCGTGGCGGCGGTACCGCGATCGAAGTATGATCCGACTCGACTCGCTACGACCGAGCGACTACCGAGTGCCGAAGAAGCCGCGCGTCAAACGCAAGGCCAAAGCGACGCGGCACTTGACCAAGAAGGAGGTCGCGTTCAAGCGAGAACTCGAGCTCTGGGTGACGCAGGTAGATGCATTCGCTGAAACCAAGGTCACAATCTCTGCTGGTACAGGTGCTACGGCAGCTCCACCCGCGCACTAGCACGATTCCTCTGGCCTTTGTACCCGAGTACCACGACCACGGGCTGCGTCAGCTCGTACTGCAGCGGCGCAGGGCACCAGCAACTGCTGTTCACGATCGACGCGTCATCGCGCCGCAGCGCTCGGCCGCCCGATTCAAACTGCGTCGATGGCTGTGTCAGCGCTTGCGCCTGCGATCGCCGCTCCACCTGTTCAACGTCGCCAAGGCCCGGCTCGACTGCGCGGCGCGGCTCATTCAGGGCGCCGTCCGATGCCGGTGCGCGGTTCTACTCGTCTGCAACGTCGTCAGCCAAGGACGTAGGTTTGCCTACCTGCTGTTGGCGGCGAAAAGAAGGTACTTGGACGGCCTCGTGTTTTCCATGCACGTGCGCTGCCTCGGGCACGAGCTTCGCGCGGCGCTGGTGGTCCAAGCCACGTGGCGCTACCACCAATCGGTACGCTTGGCAGCGTGCATGAGACACGAAAATGATGATTCTAGGTGCAATTTTGGCGCCACTACCTCTGCCTCTATCGCATCCGTCTCTTGCTCATGGCGGATGCACACCGGCGACTGCGACACATGCTGTACGAGCTGCCGTTTGCCGAGAGCGAGCACCCCAAGCTGCTCGCGCGGTGGGTCCCGAGACCCAACCGACGTCGGCCCAGTCTCGTCGCGATCACAGCCTAAGACGTGGCAGAACGAGCTGCGAATCGTCTCTGGTAACATTGATTCTAGCGATAGAAAGGATCTCGCGCTCGAATCGGTGACCATTCGAATCGAATAAGTTGATTTTGTCTCATTCAGCAAACAACAAACAACGATCCAAACTATGATGGCTTCCACGTCGAGCCTTGCCGCCCCATGGTCGTCCATCACAAGGGCATACGGAACCCTGGTTGTCCGTTGTGGATGGTATATTTATGCCGATCGGTTCGCTAATTTTAGCAGGGTATCTTTAGCTTTGCCGCCATTTCCTGGTGCTAAAAATGCCTCGCGAGAAAGGCAGCACATCTTCTTTTCGTTGCTTCGTCGCGGATCAAGAAGAAGACAGGTCGTCCATGGTTGGGGTTCGCGCACTCGTCGTTGCCGCCATATTGGCCGCCGCGACTGCGTCGCTGCGTCACGAGTCGACGAGCCATCAGGCCGTGGAGACGCGGGCGCTCGTCGAGATCAAGGCACCTTCGATCAGCAACGACACGATGATCCAGGCGCGCGAGGCGAGTCTTGACTTTGAGAAATTCCTCGCCAACCTCCGGGGCGCGAGCGCTGCTGACTATTACGACAAACTCTACAGCGCGGTTCAAATTGCACTGTGCGAGGCTGACGTCATGGAAGATGTCGCCAAAAACTTGGCGCCGGGGACGGACCCACCTCCTGAGCGGCTGTGCCCCGATATAAGGTACACCGGCGCCGACGACAAGATCTTGCCGTGTTACCGGTACATTCGATCTCGACCCATCCGACGAGAGAACTCACGACACGTAGATTTGTATTGGCGTCGAGCGAATATGCGCTCAAGGACAGCAACGGCAATTGCATTAAAGTCCTCAACCCACCGCCCAGCGTCAAGAAGCAGTACAATGACAGCATGTGCGAAGTCAAAGAAAACTGCTACTGGCGCGCGATCGACCCGACGGCCACGACGGACCGCGCACCTGTCTACGCGGAAAAGCAAGCCGTGCAGCCGCCGTCCGGCTCCATGACGGTCAAAGACGCTTGGAAGACGCTGCTGACGTGGCGCGACAGCTTCGGCGCGTGCGCCATTCCGTCAGCGATTTTGTTCGTTCTGAGCTTTCTTACGATCTTCTTCTTCATTACGTGCCGCTGCTGCTGCAACCGGTGCGGCGGCCGCAAAGGCAAGCCCGGCGGCTACTCGTGCAGCGAGAAAACGATCCCGATCGTGTTTTACCTCATGTTTTCCATTGCCATTCTCGTGCTCGCGGGCCTCGCCTATGTCTACTTTACGGTCATTACGACCTCGGTGAGCGTACGACATCCATTTACTATCTTGATGTATCGCAAGTGGTCTTACTTCCAATGGTGATAGAACGTTTTCACGATTGCACTCGGGTTCATTACGCAAATCGTCGACTGGATTGCCAGGCTCGTGGCGCCACTTCTGCACATTGCCGACACGGTCGAGTCGTCTGCCTCCAACGTACTACTCTTTTTTGTGGCTGCTGAAAACTATCACTCAGATCTGGTTCTAGATTGACGCGCAGCTCGCGGGCTCGGCCTTTATCGGGGACGGTCTCAACGGCATTGTGCTCCGGCTCGGCGAGTTTGCCAACAACACGGCCAACGTCACGCTGCCGCGCGGCTGCACAGTCGGCACCGACCGGTTCTGCACCCCCTGCGATGCGTGCACGACGATTAGCCAGCAAGTGGGTGCGGCGCGCGACCAAATGAACTCGGTGGCGGGCACGGGCGTCTCCGGTAGGTCCCTATTTTTCCATTCTTCCTTCTCACCATACGCGGTGTGTAGCGCTCGCGACTGCACGCACCGACATTATGCGTCTCCTCGTCTCGGCGAGTGGCACGATTTCGGATTTTGTTGCGAGCGTTACGACGACCAATACGCAGCTCCAGTTGGAGATCAAGAACCAAAACAAGCTCATTTTGGACGTCCAGTCGAGCTGGGAGAGCATCAGCGAGTACACGGATTTGGGGTTTCTTGCGCTCTTCGCGTTGGCGATCGTGACGATTGTGGTCGGCCTCTTCGGCGTTTTCTTTGGCTTGACGCCGTGCCGCGGGCTTGTACCTATCATGCACCTCGCGTACAGCGTCGGCTTCATCGCGATCATCGTCACGTTTCTTGTCTCGATCGTCTTTATCGCCGTGAGCCTCGTCCTCGTCGACGTCTGCAAGCTCCAAACGATCGTCGCTGCCGACTGGACGACGGTCTTCGGCGACCAAGCGGCGGGTATGAACGCTTGCTTCCACGCCAACGAGTCGCTCATTGACGCGTTCAACCTCACGTCCAGCTTTGCCTTTGCGACCGACATTGAGTTTCCGACCCTCGACCTCACGACGATGCTCGACTTTTCGACCTTTGACGCGTTTGCGACGAGTATCAACAACGTCTCGACAAGCACGTTCAACTTGGACCCGACGTTCGCGACGTTCTTCCTCGATGCGCTCAACAGCAACTCGTCGATCAATGCCGCCGGGTGTGTAGCGACCGGCGGCGCGTATACGCTCACCAACATCTTTACGCCGTGGGCCGCCAACAGCGACCCGCAGCAGCCCAACCAGACGCCAGAAAACTACATGAATTCCAAGTATTCGCCGACGACGGTACGACAAAATCTGTGCATGTACGAGGGATTGAAATATGGGGTAGGTCGGCGCCTTGTGCCCGGCCCCTCCGCCCGGCACTTGCTACACGTCAAGCAACACGCCGTGCTTGTACCAAGGCTACATTGTGCAGCTGTGGCAAAACGTACGTTCATACTATCTGCGATTTCAGAGGTAAACGGTCGATGGGGGTAGGTGACGACACTTCAGACCATTTCGCTGCAGTCGACGCAGTTTATCGCCGACATGCGGACGAATATGACCAACCTCCAAACGTACATTGGGACGTTCAAGTCGAACGTCTCGACGCTCTCCAACACGATGAACAACATCTCGACGACCCTCCAGAGCACGCTCATCAAGGACGTCAACACGATCAAGGGCGAGGCGTACTGCACGTTCATTGGGGCGACGTACTTTGAGCTCACCGAGCAGCTCTGCGGCTACATGACACCGTCCTTCCTCATGATCGCGCTCTTCCTCTTCCTCATTGGCGTCTTCCTCGTCCCGATCAACGTTACGCTCATCCTCATGGTACTCTGTCCGTTTGACTTGACTTTTTCTTGACTTTTCGGCGACTCTAGGTCAAGCGACTCCGGTACAGGCACGGCCACTCGCCCGTCCTGGCCGAAAACAATCTCAAGTAGATCCACTCAAGCGTGAAACAAAAAGCAACCAATACATATGTCTTGAATATCATCGTGGAATCCTCACTTGAGCTTGGTTGTCGTCGGTGCCACGACGTGTGGCGACCGAAGCCGCTTGGTGAGAATGATGAGCGTCACGTTGATTGGAATCAGAACAAGCCGAGCAGGAAGAGGCACAGCGAGATCATGAGGAGCGCGGGCGTCACGGTACCTATGCGCGCATTCAACAACAAAAAATCACTCGACTACCTACCGCAGAGGGCGACGTAAAAACGGTTGTAATCGCGGGCCACGAACGTGCAGTTCATGCTCTTCTCAAATGCACGCACGTCGCTAATGAGCGACGCTTGCAGGACCTCTCTGATCTCGTTGAGCGTCGAGCTCAAGTTGGTCACTTGGCCCTAAACGCTGTCGTTGGCACCCTGCGCTTTTCCATCATGCGTACCGAAAAGGTGCTCGTGGCGTTCTCCAGCTGCAGCATCGACACGTGCATGTCATCGACAAAGGTCTTGGCGTCGGCAGTGACCCGAACGAGTGCGCTCATCTACGCAATCCATATCGACCCTGTGCAATAATGCGCAAAACGAGTCGCACGTTCGAGACGATCTCGACAAGAAAGCCGTCGTAGGGGCACAAGGTGTTGTGGCCGCAGACAGGATGCAGGACGCCAGCGCACGGGTTGCGGTACGGAAGGTACATGGAGGCCACGTCCTCGACCGGGTCTGTCAGGGCTGTGCTGCCATGCAAAAGCCACGGCGTCGTTGGGTTTTGCAGCGCAAAGTTGCCGTCGTTGACGTCGCACGTCGCAGCGACCGCGGCCGTTTGCGTCGACGCAATGTAGCTCTGGCTCGTAAAGTTGTTGAGGACCGAGAGGAACGTCGGAAGGAGCGTCGGGTCGACTTGAAACGTGCTCGTGTTGGTCTACGAACGGTGGATCTATGTGAGACACGTGTTGATACATTGATACGCAACCGACCGCCAAAATCGTCTCGGCAAAGGCGTCGAGGGACGTAAATTGGAGCATCGACGAGAGATTCAGCGACGGAATCGTCAAGTTGTTGGCGAACGCGAGACTCGACTGCAGGCCCATGGCGTCGATGAGCGACTGGTTCTGGAAGCACGCGTTGAGGCCGCGGCCCGACGAGTGCCCGAGGATTGGCGTCCAGTCTTGCGCCACGAGCAGCGTGAGCTGACACACGTCGCCCATGAGGATGCTCACGGCGATAAAGACCGCCGAAATGATAAACGTGAGCAAGAGCGTGATAAAACCTACATACCGCATCGCATCGTCGAGGTAGAATCCCAGTGAGCATACCTAGGAGGTACGCGATGTGGAGGATGATGGCGAGGCACCGGAGCGGTGTCAGCCCAAAGCAGATGCCAATCACGCCGACGGCAATCACAACAATCGAAAACACAAAGAGCACGAGAATCCCGGCTTGGCGTGCGAGCGACTGGTGCTGCCACGTATTGGAGTACGTGTCGACGTGCAGCGTCGCGTTGCCGGCCATGTCGGAGAGCAAGCCGACGCCGACAACGACGTTGTTGACGGTACTCTTGATCGTGTCTTTGGAGTTGACGAGCAACGAGAGCAGCGACGACCTAGGATCATATACCTCCTTGACGACCTTGCACGAGTTAAAATGGTGTCCCTACCGCGTGCTTTGAAGCGTCGCAATGCCCGAGCCTGCCGCCGACTCCATTTGAGACACCGCGTCCGACACCTGGACGTTGATCGAGGTGCACACATCACACGGAATGCAAATGAGATCCGTGCCGACGACGCAGCCGCGGGGCAGCACCACATTGTACGTTTGGTTTTCAAATCTAGAAACGGCAACATCAGCAATCCAGCCACTTGCGTAGTCTGTATAGAAAGGCAAGTACGCTTCGAGGCGGTGCACGAGGCCATTGAGTCCATCTGCAATAAAGTCCGAGTTGTTGAGTTTCACGCTGATCGCGTCGGCCGAATTCACGACCGTGTCCCGAAGGTGCACGAGCGGCGCTGCGATCGAGTGCACCCACGAGACGAGGCCCGAGATCGTCGTCACTGTCGTTGTAAAGAGGGATCCAATTTCATTCGTAATGACGTTGTAGTAGAGCAAGCTCGCGATCGCGACGCCCGCAATCGCCCCGGCAAAGACGAGAAAGAAGGCGATCGGGACGCCGCGCTCCATGCGCGAGTAGCCCGACGGCTTGGCGTTGCGGCCGCCGCATCGGTTGCAGCAGCAGCGACACAAGAGAAAGAAGAGGCAGCCAAGGAAGCAGAGGACGCCAAGGATGATCGGCGGCGCGACAAAGTACGCGGCGCTTTGGGCCCATTTCTGAAGCGTCGCCGTCGCTTGCGGCAATGTCATGGCGTCGCTGGGTGGCGCCGCGGCTTGGTTGGTCGCGTAGACTGGCACGCGGTCATGCGCGTCATCGAACTGGAGCGTCGACCAGTAGCAGTTGGCGATCACTTCGCAGTAGCCGCGCTCGTACTGCGTGGCGACGGCCGCGGGCGGCGACACGAGGCGAAGACAATCGCCGTTCTCGTCGACGAGCGCATTTGGGTGCGAACTCGCAACGAAGCGGTAGTAGGGCGGCACGGCCATCTCGCTGTGCATACTGCTCGGCCACGTCGCGAGCGGTTCGTCGCCAGGTGCGTGGTGGTCCGTGTTGGAGAGGTAGTCGCAGTACGTGATCTGCAGCGCCGTGTAGAGCGAAGCGTAAAAGGCGGGGTCGCCGCCACGGAGCGTGGTGATCGTGCGAAGCACGTTGTGGCCGACGTCCATGGCGGCCGACGCACTTGCATTGTTGACAAAGGGCATCATGTCCTTCTCGCTCGTCAGCGCCCGCGGGCGCAAGGCGGCGACGGTCGCGCTGAAGAAGACGAGCGCGCGTCGCATGCGTCCAGCAAGAAAAGGTAAAGTGACGGAGGCGTTGGCGACTTCTCTTGAAACGGACGTTGAGCGTCTCCGCCCAGCGCACTGGTCGACGTTGGCTCGAGAAGAAGAGCGCGTTGTGATTGCATTGTGGAAGCAGGTCGGTCGAGCGGCGGAGAACTAGAAGACACTAAGGAATCCATATTTGGCGTGTCGGGCTCCGAGCGACGGTGCATCTTGCTCTCGTTGCTGGATGCTAGATGCAAATGACAACTTGAGGACGCGCTTAGTTTGGTTTTATAACACCGATCGCGTACCATACACCGATCCTTGATGATGGGACGCGTGCATCACAGAACGGGAAAGCTCACGACGCGCTTGCACACCTTGTCCTGCTGTCCACAGCGACGAAATGCTGCTGTGAACCCCAACCCTTGCGCACCGCGTAGCCGCGTGCGCGACGATCGCAACATCTTCTACGTCGATGGATGGACCCTAGCGACTGGTCTGCGTCCTGCGTGTCGCCTGAAACACCGCCGTGGCCTCTTGTAAAGTCGGGGAACGCAAGACCCTTGGTGCCACGCTTCCGTTGCGTCGGCGTAGTACAGTGTATCCAGCCAGGCTTACGATGCCAATCACCAGCAACATGGAAGTTCAAGCACGGATGGGTAATACGTTGTGCGGTGGACGTGGCGACATCTCGCGTCGATCGGCAGAGGTCCGCGAACGCTGCCACGCGCGTCGAGCTGGCGTTCGTCCACTGGCGAGCCTGTATGGACGAAGACGATGAAGCTTTGCAGTGAGAAGCAATGCGCACGCCTGTATGTGAGACGTTCGCACATCACACAAGGCGCACCGGGTATGCACGGGACCAGCACGGCGCAATAATACTATTCTAGTAGTGAGGTTGTCCGAGTGGCTCATCCCCACCGTGTTGCGCCAGGTACTGTCTGTGGACGCTGCATCATCATCCGGTCGGTGAGCCCAGACGCAACCGAGATCGCGCTACACAATTGCAGGGCGACGATGCATGATGGCGTAACGAGCGTGACAACAGCGACGCGGTGTGGGCCAACCAATCGCGTCACCGCGACCGAGCGTGATGATGGATCAAGGGAATAAAACTTATTCCCTTGTGATGGATCGACGAGCGTAGTCGATGGATAGATGCGATGGATAGATGCGATGGATAGGGCCAGATCGATGACGCGCATTGCCTCAGCTACACCTCTTAGTTGACAACTTGGCAGCGTTCGTGCAGAGAGGAGGTTTCTCGTTTCCTGAAGCTCTATCCGCTTGCGCTGGCTCGTGCTGCGCGGATGTGCATTGCAGCCTCGTAGACAGGCCGTCGAACTCGCATGCTTGGGTCACCTTCGATCCCACTGACCACATGGAAGATCGGGTTGTCCGGATACAAACAGCCCACATTGCCCTTTTGTATACGCGTCCGGATACGACGGCGTCGCCAGCGTGGCACGCTGCCAGCGGGTAGCGCTTTATTAATGTGTAGCGTTTATTGCAACTTGGGTTTTGTATGGCCGAGCACGAAAGCATAAAAAGCGCAGCATTTCCGAGTCGACGCCCGCCACCGTGGGAGCAAGCACAGGAGGTAGCCGCGACGAAATACCGTCGCGCTAAGTTCTAAGTTGCCTAGGCCGGCGAGACGCCCAGCTCCACAACGACTCCCTCCGTCCCCAAACCAGCCACCTCGGTCTTTGACGTCTTCCGGCGAGCTGGCCGTGACCCGATGAAGACCGTTGTGCTCTCCGAGAACCCGGCCAAGCCGCTGAGCGGGAAGCGCGAGAACCACCTCCGCGCGCTCAAGGAGACGCTGCGCAGCCGCGCAGTCCGCCTCTTTGACGAGTCGCGCGAGCGCAAGACGTCGTCGGCGTCGTCGAGCTCGAGCTTCTCGCTCGTGTCGTCGCCCGCGGGCAACGTCGCCCTCGCCGTCAAGGTCTTCTCGCCGCGCGCCAAGCACAAGTCGTTTGACGCGGACGACGACAGCGAGTGCGACAACGACGTAGTCCGCGAGCCCCATGCGGTGGTGCGCCTGCGGGACGTGTACATGGACCCGCGCCGCCTCATCTCGGGTCGCCACGGCAGCGCGATCGTCCGCGCCGTGATCCGCGCCAACATGATCGACTGTCTCTCGTGCAAGTGGGCGCCAACGTACTTCAGCTACGTCGCGTACGGCGTGCAGCGCAAGCAGCTCACAGGTATCCCTCCACGTCGCGAAGCCATCCAAGCTCATCGTCTGCTCCTGTGGTACTAGCGCTCGAGGCCCACTCGTTGCGGTGGCTCATTTGTCAATACATTATTCGCGAAGCCAAGCAGCGCTCGGACGCCCAAGCCGTGCTACGCGACCAGCTCGGGCGCAAGCTAACCGAGTTTCGCATCGCGGTGCAGTGCGTCTCGGGCTTGAACGTCGTCAAGTATGGCCGGAAGGGCGCGCCGCACGCGACGCAGCTCATCGTCGAGAACGCCGACACGATCCGGTGGACGCCCAAGCTCGGCATGCAGCTCCAAAACGTGCTGCACCCGCTCACGAAGAAGGAGAAGAGCATTTCACTCTCGACGGTCATCGCCGTGCAAACCGGGTTTGCGTCCGACGTGTTTCGTAAGGCCGCTGCCAAGGCCGACAAGAAAACGACGCCGCTGGACCCGCGCTGCTGCCTCTCACTCATTACGCCGACGCGGTCGCTGGACCTGGTGGTGCGCAATCCGCTCGAGTGCGACTGGTACACGGACGGACTTGTGCGATCGTAAGATCGTCGATGGCTGATGCGATGACACGTAGGCTGCGGCGAAGCTTTGATTTGATGGTCGCCCAAGCGTACGAGAATGAGAAGAAGGCGTCGGCGCACGTCGAGACGCTCATTATGCGAAAGCTCGGATCCTTGGTCGTCTCCAAGTATGGTCGCAAGGGCAAGCCGCACAAGACCCAGCTGAGCCTCGACAAGTACGGCGAGGTGACGTGGAAGGGCAAGAGCGGCGGGTCGATCCTCCTCCAAGAGGTAGTATTTTTTCTACCCAAAGCCCTATTGCTGAGACATGTCTCTAGGTCAAGGAGCTCCGGCTCGGGCACGGCACGCCCGTCTTTCAGCGGTTGGCACAAAAGTCCAACCCCAAGCACTGCGTCTCGCTGATTACGGCGGCGCGAACGCTCGACCTTGAAATGAGTTCGGAGAGCGAGCGCGACTACGTGGTCCTCGCCTTCCGGTACATTTTTGTGCATCCAATTTTGCGAGTCGACACAAATATTGTCTTATGTAGCTATTTATTGAACAAGATGAAGGACCGCGCGCGCGAGGCGAAGCGCATGAAGGCCGAGCGTGGCGTGCGCATGCTCCAAGAGGCGTACCAGTACCACGCCCGGCGCATGGGGCAGCTCTCGCAGGCCGTGCCGCCAAACTACGACCTCGAGCGGTACCCCGGGGCGTCGCCCGACACGAGTCCGATGATGGCCCTCGAGCGCTACTCGGACCCGACCTACGACCGGTACCCCGGACCCAACGTCGCCAGTCGTCGTCGCCGAGCGCGCGTCCGACCGGTACACGGGGCATTCCGGGTATGCGCTCGAGCGACCTCCGCAAGCGCGGCTGCCACGCGCCACGAATGGCTTTCCCGCGACCGCCATCTCCAAGCCGGTGCACTTGTAATCGTTGTTGTACAGAGCATGCTCTATTGTTGTCTGTGGCTATTGTTGTGGCTGGTGGTAGAGCGAGTAGACACTCTGCGTCGTCTTGAGCTCCTCTTCGTACTTCATGCGCTCCTGGGCCCGAATCCACTCCATGCGCGTCTTGTTGATGTCGCGCAGACCCTACCCCTTCTATCAGTCCGGAACTCGTCCATGGAAGAGAGCGACCGTATAGTGGAGGTCTTCCAGGACGTCGAGCTGGGCCATGCTGCAGCTCGCCAAGTACGCGTCCTGGCCTGGCACGAGGCCCATGGGATGCAGCGCGACTTGCTCGGCCATGGGCTCCCGCGCATACAAGCGCGTCTGTAGCTCGTCGGTCGTCATGCGCGGGTTCGGGTCCTCCAGCGTCGTCGACGGCGTCGTCGCCAAGAGCCCGACCGACGCCGCTTGCGCCTGTGCAAACGCGTTGTGCTTCATCTCGGAGCGCATGAGGATGTGCCCGCAGCGCACGCACCTAGCATCGCCACGTCTACCATCATCCTGTCGTCGCGATAGAAAGGAGGAGGGTACGCAAAAGTGGGTGCAGGGACGCAGAGGTGGCAGTAGAGCTGCGTGCAGGCCGTGCACTGCACGTTCTCCGAAATGAGGTCGGCGCAAAAGCCGCATGCAAGCATGCTGAGCGCATCGCGCACGTGCACCGGTAGCGGGTCGAGCCACGAGAGCTTGGTCTTGAGCACGCCCCGGGACACGGGCTGTCGACGGTACGACCGGGCCTCGGACGAGCTAAAGCGGCCCCACTACATGCAGTGTCAGCACACGTGTCGCATCAAGTCGATCAGAAGATACCATGGGTCGAGGCCGAAGAAAGGGCGAAGGTGTGTAGCTCGGCTGGAAGAGCTGACTCACAGGCGACAACGTGCTGACGTGATCACTGTTGGAGAAGGGAGCCGACTCTGGCGACGACGGCGTCGCGTCGAGCGAGGGCAAGCGCATGAGAAAGTCGGGTGTTCCGTCGTCCTCCGATTCGCTCTCGGCCGTCAGCGCTTTCTGAAGGAGCGTGCTGCCATGTGCGGCCGGACGGTCCTCGGTGGTGTCCTTGTGGATGGCTGGCTCCGACACCGCTGCTTCTGGTGCGACGGCCTCAAGTGCAACAACTTCTGGTACGACCGCTTCTGGCACGACTGCTTGTGGTGCGTCGTGGGCGTCAATGGCAGCTAGTGGTGGCTCCAGCGCCCGAGTGGTCGGCGCCGGCGCCGCAACAGTAACCTTTGTGGATGCTGGCGCACTCTCTTTGATCGGACGTTTGGGGGTAGTTGGCTTGGCCTGCCCCTTGGTCGTCGAGAGCTTGGGTGCCGTTGGTGACGCGTCGCCGTCCTTTTTCTTGTCGGCCTTGGTGCTGGGCGCAGGTTTGCGACTCACGGTTGTCCACGCCATGGCATTCTCGTCGTCCGTCTCGTATGGTTTCCTATTATACCAAGTGTTCACGTCCGTTGCGCTGCATAGAAGGAGCTAATACGTGGCGGGCGTCGGCGACGGGGCAGGAGTGTCCACGGCTGCGTCCTCGTCGTCGTCCGAGTCAGGACCGTCGATGGCTAGCGTCACGGCGCTCTTATTGGCCTTGGTCTTCTTTTGAGCTGCTTTCTTCGCCTTCTTCTTCTTCTTGTTGGCGGCCGCTTTCTTCGGCGTCGTCGTCGCTTGGCTGTCTTCCATCTCGAGCATCGTCATCATGCGGGCCTTGGCCTCCTCTTCGAGGATGAGCCAGCGCGACTGAAGGTACTCGACGCAGCGCTCACTGCCATTGCAACCCGTGAGCTCGGCTTCCTACACATGGTATTCTTTCCATGCAAGCACGCTGGCGGCGCGTTAGATACCTCGAGCGGCGTTTGCCCAATCGCGTTTCGAATCGTAATGTCGGCGCCATGCGCCAAGAGCTCTTGAACGCACTGCAAGTAGCCGCAGGACGCGGCCAAGTGCATCGCCGTGGTTCCATCGCGGTCCTGGGCGTTGACCATCTCGGGGCACCTAACCAAGTCAATACCACTTGATAGTCGATGCAGAGGACAACTTACTGCTGCAGTAGCATGGCCACAATGTTCTTGCGGCACGCGTCGATGCCCTCGGTCGCGTCGTCGCCCAGCATTGTCGCACACATGAGCGTCGTCGCGTCAAAGTGGTTCTTCACGCGCGGATCGGCGCCATGGTCAAGCAAGATGCGCACGGCTTCGTCCCGGCCTTCGATGCAAGCCCAGACGAGCGGTGTGTCTAATGCAATATCCATGCAGCTTACGACAACGACCAAGTTGGTGACTTGACTACCTGCGTTGACAAGTCGATCTGCTTGGTATGCTTGCACATCTCTTCGACGATGACCGGATCGCCATTCTAATGTCATGTGAGCGTCTCCTCTTGATGAGAATCGGGAGTATACCTTGGCTGCAAAATGGAGCGCTGCGCTCTTGAGCTCAAACGTCCGCAGGTTGGCATCTGCGCCGAGCCGAAGCAGCTCAAGGACGACCTCCGAATTGCCCTCCGCTGCGTCATGGTTGCCGTCAGAGGTCGCCAGAGAGGTGGGTTGTCTACCTGCGGCGATCATGAGCGCCGAGAAGCCGTCGACGTCGACCGAGTTGAGGAGCTCGCCGCTCGGGTCGGTCATGAGGAGGATGCGAAGCGTCTCGACGTTGCCTTCCGCTATTCATATATACATGGCCTCGTGCGTCTAGGGCCGTGCTTCTGCATGTACCTGCGCACTCGAAGAAGGACCGCGCGATGCCATCCGAGTCGATCTGCAGCTCGAGCTCAATGTTCATCTCGTCCAGCGTCATCTCCATGTGGGTCGTCGTGCTCAAGGTCACCTCGTCCGGCGCGTCGTCGTCATGCGCGAGCGGGTCATGGACGCTGATCTCGACGCGACGCCGTGCCATCTCCATCGGCAATGTGGCAGCGAGTCGCCAGTACGGATAATATTCCATTATCCGGATAGCTTCCTTGGCGCCATTTTGAACCTCATCGATCGCTTCTCACCAGCATCAACGCGCAAGAGACCATGCGTACTGCCAGTCTCGAGTGTTCAGCTCCCACAGCGAAATCGCGCTGCGTCTCCTCCGCTGCCCCAAAATGCAGGCTTGCTGCTCTCTTGCACAGCTTGGTCGTATAAAGCACCTCTCTCTTCTCACCATCGCAGCTCCAACGCTGTGACTGAGGATTTATATCGGTTCTTTCTGCAGCTGCGCAACCGTCCTCCTTCGTGCACCCTCAAGCGTGAGCGAATGTACCTGCGTGCGGTCATGTTATAGCACCCTTCCGGCCGCCTTCCCATAGCCAACATGTTGTGAGGAGTGGATACAATAGCATCATTTTATAAACAAAGCGGGAAGAGAACCCACGACGAAGATCGTTCCAATACACTTAGCCGCCGCAGCCGCCACAGCCACCGCCGCAGCCGCCGCCATCGCCCGTCGAACAACCGCCTGTCGCGCAACCACCGCAGCCACCGCCGCCGCCACAGCCGCCATCGCCCGCAAACGTGCCACAGCCCGCGTACGCCTCGCCCGAGACGCCACAGCCACCGCCGACGCCGTAGTAGCCGTAGCCGCCGCAGCCACCGACGTACATGTAGGGCATGTAGTAGTAAGGGAGACCCGCGTCGTACATCAAGACGGTGTGGCGCGAGTACGGCTGGCGCACGCGGCCGTCCATGACCGGCGTGCCAATCACCGTGACGTAGACGGGCAAGGGCGCGTCACCCTCGGGCTTTGTCGCGTTGGCGTCGGTGACAGCGACCGCATACGGCATCGCGTCGACCGGGTACGCTTCGTTGACGCCAAAGAACCGGTTGTCTCTGGCAGGTACAGCGCCGTGCTTGGCCCACTTTTTACGCAGCACGAGGCGCGTGATCGGGTCCGTCGACTTGTCTTTGACCCACGCCTCGTAGCTCGGCGGGAAGCTCGAGTACGCTTCGCCAAACGTCTGGGACCAGAGCACAAAGGTGTCGGCGTACCCTTTGGCGAGGTCGTCACCGGGAATCGTGTCGTCGTGGTCGAGAAGCGTCTTGCGCCACATCAGGTTGTGGCAAAAGGCTGCGTACTGGGTCGGCGACGTCTGGTGCGCGTGCCAGACCAAGTCAATGTCCGACGTCGGCACGAGAATCACACCGCGGTCCTTGACCGCCATGAGGTCCATAAACTTGTCGTAGCGCGTGATCGAAGCGGCGACCACATCCGGGTGCGTCCAGTACTCGAAATGCGGGCACATTTTGTTGACAAAGTCGAGCTGCCGGAACATGCCTTGGACCAAGTCGAGGTGAAAGCGCCCGAGAGCGTTCTGACGGTACGCCCTGACCGCATCGCGGATCGTTGAGCGCATGGTGGCAACGCCCGCTTTGCTCGCCGCGGCCGCACCGGCAGCAATGTTGTGCTGCAGCTGCACCAGGAATGTTGCCCACGCGCCGTCCTGAGGCACGTCTGGCACGATCACGACGTACTCGACGGGGTTATCCCGCAGCGTGCAGTTGACCGTGAACGACGGGTGGCTCCCAACGAAAGCGGTGAGATTGTACGTCTCGTAGAGGATGCCGCGGCCGCAGGTCGGACAGCTGATAGCTTTGTTCCGGATGTGCATGAGGTACACCATGGACTGGGGCAGCGCCACGCCGCACGAAGGGCTGGGGCAGCGAGTGAGAATGTCGACGAGCGGGGGTGCAGATTTAACCCCCTTGCTGTACAAGACAGGGTGCAGCAAATGCACAGTGTGCGCAAAGTTGCCCAAGACGCCGTTGCTGTAGTCGCGCTCGAGACCCAAGAAGAGCTCGTAGAGACTGTCGACGTCCGGCAGGCCGGCAACGACGTCATAGACCTCCTTCATGTCGAGCATGTGCTGCGTCACTTGCTGGATCGAGACGTTGGAGGGCTTGATGCGGAATTTGCCTTCAAGCGCCTTCTTCTCGTTGATGGCGACCGCGACCGAGAGAAACGAGTCCCACGTGTCCTTCGTCTCGACGGCCCACGTGTCCGAGACGACCGACTTTTCCAAGTGCGACAAAAAATCCTCGCGCGCCGACGCCGTGGGTGCATTGAGTGTCAACTTGACTTTGCCGTGCTCAAGCAGCTGGAACGGGAAGAGGCGACTCGAATCAAGCGGCTCGAGCAGCCGCGTCGTGCAGTAGGTCGTGTTGCACGCAAACTTGAGCTTCTCGCCGTCCATAACCTCGAGGGTTTGGCCCGTGAGCACGACTTGGCGCGCCGCCCATTTGGGTACCATAAGGACACGCTCCTTGACCTCGAGGTCCACGACGTATGAAGCCACCGTCATTGACTCGGTGAGGGTGGGCGCCATTGGCGTCTCTTGGCCCATGCTGCAAGTTGCAAACTGGATTGGCATGCAACTGCAAACTCGCCGACCAATCCGAGACGAGCAGATTCAACGATCCCGCCAATCAGCGCGATTGAATCTTCGATTGACAGTCCCAAGATCACGTTGGGCGTCAAGTGCCACAAGGAAGATCTAAGTTATGTGCGTCGGATGGAAGAAGCCATAGGGAGCATTAGATCGACCCAATACGACGAGCCACTGAAGATTCCTTGCGCTGAATGTTGGTACGAAATGTGAATAAATCCCTCTCTATTTTCCAGGTCCACATCTCGTTGACAGTATGTCCCTACCAAGACATGCTTCCTCTCGCCTTTTCGCAACCTCCAAGCGTCCGCAGGTGCCCTCATCGAAGCAGATCGATCCGATACCAACGTTTGATATGCTGGGCCCAACATGGCGTATTGCAATTTTGCTTGGCTGTATTCAACGTCGCCTCAACTCTGGAAGTACAGAGGTCTATGCATGTGCATCGAGATAATCTAAAATATTATGTACTATTGCATAGCAGACCGCTTGCTGCTTGTTCCTGAGCCGACAGCTCTCAGAGCTCAAGGCCATTTCATGTCACCGAGGGTGGCGCAGAAGATCGAAGCTTCCGCGATGCCTCCCTCTGGATTGGCTAAAATCTTTTGTTTTTTAGCCAATTACAAGCGGTGATTTTACCTGCAATAGATTTTTGCAGCAACCCCACATTCTTTACGAAAGCAAAGCGTCGACGATGGACCGCTTGCAGCGCTTGTTCGGCAACCTCCCTGGCATGCAGGGCCATGGCATGGGCGGCGCCAACGACGGACCCGCGGTCGACACGGCCGAGAAGGTCCACATCTCGTCTCTGGCGCTGCTCAAGATGCTCAAGCACGGCCGCGCCGGCGTGCCCATGGAGGTCATGGGCCTCATGCTCGGGGAGTTCGTCGACGACTACACGGTCGTGTGCTTGGACGTGTTTGCGATGCCGCAGAGTGGCACGGGCGTGAGCGTCGAGGCCGTGGACCCGGTCTTCCAGACCAAGATGCTTGACATGCTCAAGCAGACGGGCCGCGCCGAGATGGTCGTCGGCTGGTACCATAGTCACCCCGGCTTTGGCTGCTGGCTCTCGGGCGTCGATATTAACACGCAGCAGTCGTTCGAGGCGCTGAACGCGCGCGCCGTGAGTATCGTCATTGACCCAATTCAAAGTGTGAAGGGCAAGGTGGTCATCGACGCGTTCCGCTTGATCAACCCGCAGCTTATGATGCTCGGCCAAGAGCCGCGCCAGACGACGTCCAACATTGGTCATCTCAACAAGCCCAGCATCCAAGCGCTCATCCATGGCCTCAACCGCCACTACTACTCGATTGCGATCGACTACCGCAAGAACGAGCTTGAGGAGCAAATGCTCATGAACCTGCACAAGAACACATGGAGCGACGGTCTCGTCTTGACGCCGTTCGAAGCGCACTCGGCCAAGAACGAAGAGATGGTCGAGCGCATGCTCAAGCTCACCAAGCAGTACAACGAACGCGTGCAGGAGGAAGACGAAAAGACCGCGGACGAGCTCGTTGTGCTCAACGTCGGCAAGGTCGACCCGAAGAAGCACCTCGAGTCGGACGTGTACGATCTCATGGCGCTCAACACGGTACAGTGCCTTGGCGCGATGCTCGACACGATCGTCTTTTAAACGCTGCTCGTGTTGTAAGCGCGTCAATTACCTTCTCGCATGACGTCGAGTTTCTTGTGTGCTTGCATCCACATACAGCTGTCGCAGCTACCTAGCACCCCGCATGAGCATAGCATTCAACCACGTCTCGGACGACGTACGATGCACGAAGCCAGTACCGCGGGTATTGGCGCTGCAAGTTGTTGACAAGGACGCTGACCTAGACGACCCCATTGCATGAGCGGCCCTCCATGCGTGCAAGCAATCACCGCCACGAGAAGGCAGCTGCCAACCAAGATGGGCGAGATAACGTAAAAGTAGCCAAGGTTGCGCACCGCCGGCGGCGAGATCACAGCAAGGAGGGCCGTGGCACCGGCCGGCGGATGCATCGTGTCGGTGAGCTGCATGGCGACCATGGAGAGCGACACGGCAAGCGCGCAGGCCAGCCACATGTAGTCGTTGCCCAGCGACGCCTTGGCGATACTCACCCCTATTGTGGCCGAGAGCACGTGCCCGCCAATGACATTCTACACACGCCTTGAAGCTGCAACGACGGAGAAGAGGACGATGCTACCCGAGGCTGGGCGAGCGGCGCGTCGACGACGCCAAAGACGAGAACGGCCGTCGCGCCAAACGACCCGATCAAGCTCGTCGCCTCCGCGTCATAAGAATCATCGAGGTCAAGTTGTGAGGATCTGCGTACCTGGATCTCGCTTGGGTAGAGGTACAGGCGTACATTGTACTGCAGCAGACTGAGAAGCGAGATGCCAAGAAAGCTGCTTATGAACGACCAGAATACGATCCGGTGCTTCGCTTGCCCGAGCGTAGCGTCTCGGGACCGCGCAGCCATCGTCTTTCGGTCGCAGACGAGCAGGTTCAAGGCGGGGTTGACCTCCTTGAGCCGCGCAAGGTCGTCGATGCCCCGCATCTTGGCCATATACTGCTTGCCGCTACGCCACAGCATGCTCCTCGCAAGATCGTCGTAACGAAGAAACGGCTCGCATGCACCGCCGAGATGGAGGTGGATGGAGTAGACGGCGCGGTGCCTCCGTCGTCGCTTCGCACGCTGGTCCATCGGTGGGCACTGCTCAACCCCTGCTGCCTGCTGCCGCCACGTCCACCTGGCTTATACGGCCGTCGATCCGCCATGACGTGGCACGCTGCGCGTCTAAAAATACAAACGAAATGCAGTTTCAGGCTTGAAAATAGCCGCCAACGCCACTTTGGTTCGTGCCACCTGCAGCAAGAGAGAAGATGCAGCGGGAAGAGTGCATCTACAACCTCATCCCCAAGGTGGTCGTCGCGCCGGAGAAGCCCAAGCGGTACCACTCGACGCACGACCCACAGACGCAGCCAACCGCATCGACGTTCGGCCTCCACGGCAAGACCAAGCTGCTCGGGTCCAACCTCGGGCCCGAGAAGCCCAAGAGCCCACCTGAGAAAGCCAAGACGTTTGGGAAGCTCCCCGAGCAGCCCAACCCGAAGGACTTTATCAAGAAGCAGTCCAAGTGCAAAATGCCAGAGTCCAAACGTACACGCCTTGCCTGTTGAAATATGACATTATTGTATGTGTGTAGCGACCCGCTTCAACTACAATGGGCCCAAGAAGGCCGCTGTCGTCAAGGCCGACGAGAAGCCCGTGATGGGTCTCAAGACGTCCAAGAACTTTATCACGGCCAACGCGGTCGAGGCCATTCTCGACGTGCCTGGCAACCGCGCCCGCGCCAAGAAGGAGCCGCCCGTGTACCGCCACAAGCCCGACTTTGGCAAGGTACGACCTCCTTCGCATTCGCACGAGGATACGAGATGTCAACGGCGTAGGTGCCCGAGTACCTCGGCGAGGTCAAGCAAGAGATCGAGCAAGAGAACGAAATGATTGAAGAGTTTGTGCGTCAAAACAAAAACATCCTCGCCGACCAAGAGCCCAAGGTCGAGCCCTTGGACGACGACGAGCGCGCCAAGCTCATCTCGGCGCTCAAGGCCAAGTGGGACCACGTCAACCAAAAGTACCAAAAGCTCTGCCACAACGTGTCGTTCGACACGCAGGGCAAAGTGCGGCGAAAGGAGACGTACGAGAAGGAGCTCACGCAGCTCGAGAAGGACATTGAGCTGCTCTCCAAGGGCGGCGTCGCAATCGTCCGCGACTACTAGCAAACAACTTCTTTTTCTCCCGTGTACACCATCCATTTGCATCTTGTCCTCCCATCGACCAGCATTAGCCTCTCTGGACGGAGCAGCAGTGAACGGTGGTGGAGCTTCAAGGAGCATCTAGAGACATACATGCTCCTTGAACTTGATCGGATTCAAGGAAGCAGCAGGTAGCCCATGATGCTCGATCGCGTTTGCTGGAATACTTTGACGCAACTCGCCCGAAGATGCCATTGCGTCGTCTCGTCTTGACGCTGCAATGCGCCTTTAGGTGAAGAGGACGTGGCGCATCGCAGCAAGAGAGAAGCAAGCAACGAGATTACATTAGAGGACGAGGACTCTCAAGTACTAACGAGCCAGTAGCGCGGGAATTGGCGCTCAATGTTGTTCATGACGACGCTGACCTACTCCATGCGTGAGACCCCACGATATTGAAAGAGCATCATGTGTGTACCCCCACGAGGATGCAGCTGCCGACAAAGACGGGAAAGATCGCGTAGAAGAAGCCGAGGTGCTGAATGTCTTGGCCGGATGTCACCGCGATGAGCGCGGTGGCGCCGCCGGGCGGATGCACCGTGTCCGTGAGCTGCATGGCGACCATGGAGAGCGACACGGAGAGCGCGCAGGCGACCCACATGTACTCGTCAATGTTCTCGGCCGTGTAGAGCACCTTGGCGATCGCAACGCCGACAAAGGCCGAGAGCGTATTGCCCAAAATCGCATTCTAAGCACACTGAGATGGGTTGCAACATGCCGAAGGAGGACGTACGCGGGGCTGCGCGAGCGGCGCTTCGACGGCGCCAAAGACGAGGATGGACATGGCGCCAAAGGACCCGATGAGCGTCGTGATCTTCTGGTCGGACGGGTAGAGGTAGATGCTCGCGCTGTACTGCATCGCCGCGAGGATCGCGATACCGACAAAGCTGCTCAGAAACGACCACCAGAGCACGCGCGCCTTCTTCGATGTCAGGTCCGGCACCTTGGCGAGGGCCGGCAGCGTCTTGCGGTCGCAGACGAAGAACTCGAGGGCCGGGTTGACCTCCTTGAGCGCAGGCAGGTCGTCGCGCCCGCGCATCTTGGCCGCGTACCCGCGCAGCCAGGCCAATGCGCCCGACGCTGGCTCGTCGTACACGTCATGGTCGTCGACCGCCTGCAGGTGCATTGGAGGATGGCCGTTGCCGACGAAACAGTCCGATCTGGGCGTCTCGAGGAGCACATGATGCGGCGGCTCCAAGTGCTTCTCGACGGTCGGCGCAATCTCGGCCATGGAATTCGCAAATGGTCATTCCCATCATTACCGATGGCGACGATCGGATTGCGAGGCCAATCGCCTGCGCATATACAAACAGCTGGCCTGCGACGCTGCGGCACGGTCGGCAGCACGGACGCTATGCCGGAAGAGCCGCGAAGCTCCATGTACCTGGTAATAGGACGCATGTTACTGAAGAGCAGGGCGCTTCAGATCGAGCTGTCCATGGACGCTTGCGTGAGGCTATCTCGAGCCACTTTGATAGAATCATATATCATCTGGGCAATTCTAAGATCGGGGCAATTCCAAGCCACGAATGTCGACACCTGTGGCAGCGGCTTGAGGATACGAATCTGTGCCCACTTGACCATCGCACAATTGCTTTGAATTAGCAAGGATAGAGTTGGTCCACCATCGCCACAATACCGGTATATTATCAACCACAACATGCTGATACCAAGGCCGCCGTTCCAGAGAGTGATAACGTTAGCCAAGGTGAGACCACACATCTCGTTTGGTTTTGGGTGGTACAAAAAGGCTCATTCCACGGCCATGCGAGAGAATGGACCACGTCCAAGCAAGGTCTCTTCGTCCCTTGCAAGTGCCAACTTCTGGCCGCCTGATTGACCAGTACCCTTATAACCTATAACCAGTGCAACACAGTGCAGGGTTTGTACAGTGCAGGGTTTCGTCTCTTCCATTCCAATTCGTACCAGAGCCGCATTAGACGTCCACGCCAGGCACGCGGCGACGAGTGAGGGCACTTGGCTGCACTCGTACACTTCATAACGCACGGGTACAACCGACTCTGACCTTGTCTTCTGTACGAAACAATCAACAGCGCTGTGCAATCAAGCTGCTATGGGCGAGACGCAGCTAATATTGGAGTGCAATTGTGTCAGCCAAATACTACGTGGCAACAACTGCAACAACAAAGGCCACTGAGGTGCCCTCACATAATGTGTGCGACCAATGTGTCTGAGGCGGCGCCTCGCTTCCGCGGGAAACGATAGAGGCGAATCGGGTCGCCTTGGTCGCAAGCAACGGGCTCGTGGAGCTGCTGCGTTTTGTGTCACCAACTCCACCATGGCGGGACGACTCTCTCCCGGCGCCGCCACGTGATTGGCTCGGGTTCCAGCCGACCATCATTCATGCTTGAATTGCCTTGAGCAGTATATCCGGATGATATCCGGACGAGGATGAATTTGAATCGTGGGCCCCAATTCAAAGGAAGAGAGTGCGTGAGCATGTCGTCCCCTGCTACCGAAGTCCCGCCGCCTGCCGACGCGCCCGTCGCGGCCGCCGACGCCGCCACGCCGCCGGCTGCGCCCGTGGAAGCCGAGTCCGATGCTTTCAACACCGGTACGCTTCCTGCATGGTCGTAGCTCCTATGGAAGACTCCTTGGTGCAGACGACATTGCCAACACGCTCGAGCACATCATGGCCATGGGCCAGGGCCTCGACGACCAAGAATACACGGACGAGCTGCATGTACGAGCCGCTTTGGATCGACGTCTTGATGACATGTGAGCGCTAGGTGCTTCAAAACGACCCCAACACCAACTTGTACTCGGCCGTGACGTTCGAAGAGCTCAACTTGTACGTCGCCTTGCTCTGCGCATACCGCCGTGCTTCAACGACGCTTGTAGGCCCGAGAACTTGCTCAAGGGCGTGTACGCGATGAAGTTTACCAAGCCCTCGAAGATTCAGTCGGTCGCGCTGCCCATGATCCTCTCCAAGTCTGTTCTCTGACCTCGTACCGCGCAGACGTCCTCATGCCTTGTAGTCCGCCCGAGAACCTCATTGGCCAAGCGCAGAGCGGCAGCGGCAAGACGGCGACGTTTGTGCTCGGTATGCTCTACCGGGCGTCGATCGACGCGAACCAGAAGAAGCCGCAGTCGCTCTGCCTCGCGCCGACGCGCGAGCTCGCCCGTCAGATCATGGCCGTCGCGACCATCATGGGCAAGTTTTGCGACATTGAAACGTTCCTCGCCGTCCCGGGCAACGACCTCGAGAAGGGCCAGTCGGTCACGGCGCAGATCGTCGTTGGCACGCCGGGTCGCATCGAGAGCCTCATCAAGCGACGCCAGCTCGACCTCAAGGACCTCAAGATCTTTGTCCTCGACGAAGCCGACGTCATGATTGACGAGTCGGGCATGCGGGACCGGTCGCTCGCGATCAAAAAGTAGCTGGATTTCTCTCTCTCCACGCCTCGGACTCGATACACACATAGGCAAATCCGCAACCCCAACTGCCAGATGCTGCTGTTTTCGGCCACGTACGCGGACGAAGTACGCGAGTTTGCCGAGAAGCTTGTGCCCAACCACAACATTATCACGGTCAAGAAGGAGAAGCTGTCGCTCGATGGCATCAAGCAGTTTTGGATCGACTGCAAGTCGCAGGCCCACAAGTACGACGTGCTCTCGGACCTCTTCGGGCTCCTCAACGTCGGCAAGAGCGTCATTTTCGTGCAGTCGCGCGAGACGGCCAAGAAGCTCACGGCGAGCATGCGCGAGAAGGGCCACTCGTGCGGCATCCTGCACGGCGCCGACATGGCCTTGGAGGTGCGCGACAAGGTCCTCGACGAGTTCCGCCTCGGCACGACCAAAGTGCTCATCACGACCAACGTGCTGGCGCGTGGCATTGACGTGCTCGGCGTCTCGCTCGTTGTCAACTTTGACATTCCCGTCAACCGCGACAACCAGCCGGTGCGATGCGTGGTGCGATCGCTGAGGACTCATCTGCTTGTTGTGATAGGACCCGGAGACGTATCTGCACCGCATTGGTCGCACGGGCCGCTTTGGCCGGAAGGGCGCGGCCATCAACTTCGTCCATGACAACAAGTCGAAGCGCGACCTGGCCGAGATTGAAAACTACTACGAGAAAGAGATCGTCATGGCGCCGGCCGACGACCTCGAAGCGCTCGAGAAGCTGCTTTCGTGGACGTGAAACGTGCGGTTCGCGCCCGTCGGACAAGAGACAACACGATGATTTTTTGTGCTTGATTTAAAATCCCTGTGTTTGTCGCTGCTGGAGCGGGCATACACAGCTGAGCAAACGATGGCAAACGGCCAGACATTGGGCGGCACAAGCCCAGGCACTATTAAGGCCGGTCGTGTCGTCAGCTCGCTTGCACGATGCAGTCCAAGCTCGTAAACCATTGAAACTCGATGGACGCGATCGATTACGAGTCTATCATCGGAATACGTCAAGACAAGGGTTTATTATATACCCTCGGTTAAGGTTAAGTCTGGTGTGTGCCTTCATTGCAGCAGCGGAGGTGCACGGTTGGCATCCAGCCGACAACAGGTCGTCCCGTGCGGGGGAGCTGGTAGGAACATCTCTCGTATCGAACGTGATTGCGAAACGCTCACTGTTTGCGCGTTGGCCTTCACTTGGACACTTTCTCTGGTAAGTCGACGCCCGACCGTTAACCGTTAAACTCCCGGACTACGCGCGCTTTTGTAGGGCCACGCTGAAATTAGGTGCGGACATATCTTATGTACGGTGGCTCTTTCAGGTGCGCTCTAGATATCTAGACACCAGCTAATATCACCGGAAAGGGATAGGACTTCAGAGAGATTCCGTACGCGCACTTTACACGTCATGTTTGGCGGGATTGGATTGGCCAATCTTACGAAAGATGCAGCCAATGGGTTGGCCAGAATGTTCATCCCATGTCATAGGTTGCTTCTCCACTAACGTTCCTACGAGGACAAGAGCCTGGTAGCCGTACCAGTTGCTGATTGACGTACGAGCATATGAGTAGCTTGTAAACTTCCATATGAAGAGCACGCATAGCTAGCTCATTTTCCACGATGCAACGCAAGAAGACCTGATATGGTCCGTGGCGCCAAGTCAAAGATCGAGAATCAACAGAAAATCACCGTACATGTACTCGCCTTTCGCTATCGGAGCCACTGACGTCGGGACTGCCTGCGTGACGCCAACAACCAAGGGTCATTGTCAGGAGAACTAAGGTTGCTCAACGGCTTGCCCAACTCGACGTCGACGAGTGATATTTAAATATTGCATAACAAATAAAAATCAACGCAATTTATTCATCCTGCCAATTTCAAAGCAAGAACAACAAATGGTTCCATTCTCTCGTGGGTGAGCACCGGTGCGTTTTTGAAACGGGCGAAAAATCCACGCCAGGCATGACAACTGCGTACACTGTACCGGTATGTGTCCGTCCAGTGGTTGTTCTGACGGTTGTTTGATTGCAGAAAAAACTTTCGAGCCGTTCCGACGCTCTTGATAGCGATGAGCGTATTCGCCACAACCGACTCTCTTCACTGCAAGAACGCAGCATTTCTACGTCGTCCAAGGCGAAGCATAGACACGTATACCTAGCCTAGCCGCCTAGCCCATTATTATGTGAGCTCATCGCTCGTTGGCGTGTGGTGCTTGGTGGTGTGCACACGTGGCCAGTCGACACCACCTCGAGAACCTATGCACCAATCCGCTACACCGAACTGTTACCGCTAGTAGCTTGTTTCGAGCGACAGCAACGAGGATATGGATGATACCTAAATGATAGCTGCAGAGGCGGCGGAGAATATGAGAGCGATATGCACCTTGTGTGTACATTGCTGCTGGCCGCACGCTGCTGAATAATCTCGAGCATTTGCGTGCACGTGCAGCCGGCGGCTCTACTTGGCGCCAACCGTCGCCGAACCTTGCGTTCGATGGCTTGTTAAGACCATAAAATGCACCAGATTCGGCGAGCACTCGTTTCGGTCGACACACATGCAAGTGTGTCTGGAGACAGTCTTGTGTAGTCGTTGGTGCACCCAGGATTTGCCAACAGCTGGACGTGCGCCACAATACGTCACGATCGTGTGCGACTGGCCTCCTATACCGGCACCACTGCGACAAGGCAACCTTCAACGTCGTCATTTTCACTTTGCACTTACGATGCGCATGCTCGCAGCGTACTACGCGCTGCTGCTGGCGAGTGTTGTCGTCTCGGCGGCGACGCCAACCTGCTCGGCGATCATCGAAAACACGGATCTGCCCGGCAACGATATTGGCACGACCGCGCGCCCAACCGCCGACGGCTGCTGCGCCGACTGCGCAGCCACGACAGGCTGCAAGGCCTACGTGTGGGTTGCCCGCGACGGTGGTGTCTGTCTTCTCAAGAGCGACGCCGGCTTCAGCTACACGTACCCTGGTGCCCGCGCGTCGATTCTGACGCCGCCGCTCACGGGCTCGTGCCCGTTGACAGAAGCCGACACCGACTACCCTGGCAACGACCTCGGTCGCACGAAGCGCGCGTCCATCGATCTCTGTTGCAACG